GTTGCCACGGGAGCGGCGGGTGCAGGTGGGAGGGCGGGAGGGCCTGACGGCGGGAATCTGAGGACGGGAAGCAAAGAAAGATCAGGGGAGGGTGGGAAGCGGCCAGGGTGGGGTGCCAGGCGAGGGGCCCGGGGGGGCGGGAACAGGGCCCCTCGGCACACCCCCGGGGACGGCGGTGGGGCCGCAGTAGGTCCCTCTGCGTTCGTTTCCGCCGTCACGTCTCAGCATCCAGCGGCGTCGGTGGGAGCCGGACTCAGCATTGAGAGTGGGGCGCACCCCCCAAGGCCAGCGAGGTGATGGTCACAGCAGCAGCGGGGTCCCCAAAGGGGGGCGTTCCAGCTGCTATCCTCATGCTTGTCTTGGAGGATCTGAGTCCTGGTTTTCGTGTCCTCACACGGAGTCTCCTCTCCCCGTCTCCTGGCAAGCCAGGCGGGAGCTGGCGGGCCCGATAAGGGTGTACGAGTCCTAAAGTCGGGGTGCCCAGCCCTGGAGCAGAGGGCCCCCCTCCCCGCCTCCGCTTTGCTCTCTGCACCGGACTGACAGGCAGCCCCCCCGCCATCCTGCCTGGGGCTGCCTGGGCTGGGGTTTCGGAGAAGATGCCCCGCAAAACCCTGGCGCGTCTCCCAAGGGCCCTGCGGCCGCCATGCTGCGCCCAGCCCTGCAGAGCGGCGCAGGCTCGGCGCTGCCCCCCGGTGGCCGCTGTCCCTCGGGGTCTGGTGACGAGTCCTGCAGTGACTTGGCAGGCGTCCCCGGCTTGGCACTCGGGCACTTGTGAGCAGAATGCCCGCCTGCCCGCCCTGCAAGGTCGGTGACTGCGGGGTGCCCAGAGCCCCATCTTCCTCTCGGGGGAGGGCAGTGCGGTCAGGGTACGCGGAGGGGAGGGCGTGCCCTGTCCTCCCGCTCCGCACGCCTGCGAGGCCCCGGGTGCCGTGGCCTCGCTGGCAGAGTGGTGTTCGGGCTGGAGCGGGGTCCTCGGGGCGGAAGTCCCGGGTCTGACAGGCACAGGTGGAACCGCTGTGGGGGCAGGGATCCCCCCCGACCCCAGCTCCTTCCAGCGCAGACTTTCCCGGGGCAGGTGGTGGCTCCTTTTTAAAAAATACATATATATGTTTCATTGATTATGCTATAATAGTTGTCCCAATATGTCCCCCCTTGGCCCTCTCCGCCTGGTATCCCCATTCCCTCCAGCAGTCCCCAACTTGGTTCGTGTCCATGGGTCATGCACACAAGTTCTTCGGCTTCTCCGCTTCCCGTGCTATCCCTCACGTGCCCCTGTGTCTGTTTTGTTCCGTCCAGTTCTTCTTCTTACTCCCTGTGACTTCCCCCATCCGCCCCCCCCCCCCGCTGGTAACCCTCTGTGTGATCTTCATTCCTGTGATTCTGTTCCCGTCCTAGCTGTTTGCTTAGTTGTTTTTTTTAATTTTTAATTTTTTTTTAAAGATTCAGTGGTTGATAGTTGTGAGCTTGTTGTCTGTGTACCTTCAGGGAACGGAGAGGCAGCTGGTCCCCGACTTCTTATGCACACTCCTCCCCCCCGGGGCACGAAGAACGGCCCTTCCCGCCTCTCACCCGCCCCGCGGCCCCCCCCCCCATTCCCCCGGAGCCTGCCCTCCCAGATGGCGGCAGAGGAAGTCCTTGTGACCTCACCCACTCAGGTCTCCCCCCCCCCCCGCGATTGGAGACCAGCCTTTTCCAGAAGCAGCCGGTGGAGGCAGGGGGCTGTCCTGGAGGAGGTGAAGGGGAGACCCCAGAAAGCCAGAGGGGGTGTTCCAGACGCCCCGGGTCCCCCAGTGCCGCCCGTGGCCCCGTCCTCCCGGCTCCGCTGGCCCAGCTTGGAGCAGCGCCGAACCCCGTGGGCAGTGCCCAGCTGAACGGCATTTGGGCGCGTTCCACCCGCTGTCCCCGCCCAGCCTCCTCCCAGATCCCGTCCGACATCGAACCCCGGCTACTCGGGGAAACACAGGCTCGGTCTGCGACCTCGCGGCTCCTGCCTCCCCTCCCAGGCAGCAGGGTGTCCCGCTGTGGCCGCCACCTGAAGGACTTACCCGCCCTCCCTACCTGTGCTGTCCACACCCCCTCTGACCCCCGCCCTGATGAACCCCCAGTCTTCACAGCGGCCCCTCCAGCCCGGTCACACTGCCCCCTGGAGCCCGAAGCTGTTTTTGCCGCCTGGACGTGGCCTTTTCCCCACGATGCCCGGAGGGTCCCCAATGACCTTGGGCTCCTGGCCTTGACCCCTTGGGTGGCACTACATGTTCTCGGTCAGCTGCAGGCCTGTCCTCTCTGTTCCCTTTGTGGGCTCCGGCTGGACAGGCCACCTGAGAACGAGGAGGTGACCCCCACCTGTCCCCCAGGCCAGGGCTCCAGACACAGCAGATGCTGCCCGGGCTGCACACCTTGTCCAGGGCGAGCCCTGTCCCCCGGGGACCCCCTGGGCCCCCTGGCCGCCATGCCCGGCGGCCTCCACTCCGACGTCCTCTGGCCCTGCTGCTTCCCCAAAGACACCGACCACCAGGGGGCCAGGGGCATGGACACAGAGGCGCCGGAAGCCCAGGGCTTTTCGGGGGGCTAGATGCCACATGTGAGTCCCATCGAGGGTCCGCCTGTGACCTCCCTACACAGGGGCCATGGGGTCTGTGTGTGCTGGTCACCCGGACTCCCTGCCTGGCTTCCCTCGTAGAAGTGGCTCTGGGGACATGCGTTCCCCCTTCTTCCCTCCCGCCGTGCCGGGGCCCCCCACGCGCCCTGTGGGAAGCAGCGAACGGACTGTCCGCCCGTCACGACTCCCGCGGGGACGGAGATGGAGTGCGTGTCTGCCCCGCGCGCCCAGGCAGCCAGGGCTCGGGTGACGAGACTGCCTGCGGGCTCAGCTGGCGGGCTGGCAGGGCCGGGAGGGTGGCGGGCGGGGGAGGCGGGCGAGCAAGGCACACCACCTTCTCTCCTTCGGGGCCGGCGTCTGCCCGGGGACCCTGTCGTGTCCACCAGGACCTGCCAGCCTTTGTCCGTCAGCTCCAGGAGCTGGGCTGTCCTCCCCCGATGGCCGCAGGCCCGGGCCCCCCGCGCCGTCCTGGGCGCCTGCCTTCCCGAACCGTCTGTCGCCGGCGCGGCGCCCTCTGGGGCCTGGGCTGAGCGTCTCTGTGCCAGATCAGAGGCTGCTGTCAAAGGTCCAAGGAAAGATCAGACAGATTCAGGAATTCGCCTGCGGTCACTGTGGGGAGGTGGCGGGAGGTCTGGCCGACCCAAAGCCCACCGACGACACCCACCCCGACTGCCCTCCTCGGGCCGGCCCTACACGAACCCCGCTGCCTTCACCGGCAGAAAAGTCGGGTCACAGAGGAAAAGTGGCCCCCGATTCCACCACCCTGGCCTGACCCTCGCCCGCGCCCAGCGAGCAGCACCCCAGGCCCGTATGTCCGTGCAGACTTGCACGCTCAGAGCGGAGTTCGTGCAGACTTGCACGCTCAGAGCGGGGTCTGTGCAGACTTGCATGCTCAGAGCGGGGTCTGTGCAGACTTGCACGCTCAGAGTGGGAGCAGGTTTTTTTAACGCACGGGCCGTGCTCTGCCTGCGTTTTAAAAACTTCTCTTGAATTGAACCAGAGACAAACCTTCTGTTTGCCTTTATCTACCACGAGACAGCACGGAACTGCTAAACGCCTGAAGACCATTTCTCCCTCGTAAGTGATAACAGCTCCCAGCAGGTTAAGGGAGAAAGAGAGAGCGGCCTTTTAAACAGCTTTGGTGAGATATAATTCACGTATACAGTTTACTCATTCAAACTGCGTGGTTCAATGGGTTTAGGTATATTACATTATTAATTTCTTAAGAACTGTGGTAAATCACCCTGGCTGGTGTGGCTCAGTGGACTGAGCCTCAGCCTGGGAACCAAAGGGTCGCCTGTTCGATTCCCAGTCAGGGCACATGCCTGGGCTGCAGACCAGGTCCCCAGTAGGGGGCGCATGAGAGGCAACCACACATGGATGTTTCTCTCCCTCTCTTTCTCCCTCCCTTCCCCTTTCTCTAAGAATAAATAAATAAAATTAAATCTTCAAAAAAAGTCTTTGCGTTGCCCTCCAGCCTGCCCTCCACACTCTCACTTGTCACACTATTTATTCGTCTATTTATTCATTGCTTACACTGTGGTTTTTAAAAACACGGGCTATATTTTTGGTTCTTTCCCATCCCCCCCCCCCCAGCTCTGCTGGCTTGCCCGTCCGCTTTTGTCTCTCTCTACTGCCAAATCGTTTCTTTTTAAGGCTTCTGTCTCCTTCCCCCCACCCCCTGCCCCCACTAGTGTGTCAGAGTCCGCACCTGCGACTCCCCTGCATCGGTGGGAAGCCAGCGGCTTCTCTGAGGTCTCTCGGGGGCTTCTCCGGATGAGTCTGCTCGTGATGCACGCTCCTCGTGCGTCCCCCACCCTTCATCCGCGGCCCCGTGTGGGTTCCTTCCCGATCAGTATTGCTTCTCCAGAGCAGGGGGTGAAGAAGGGGGGTGTGCAGGCTGCCGCTGCAGGTGGGGTTAGCTCTCCTCCCGGAGCGGTTGCTCATTCTGCCCCGGGGTCCCGTCTCTCTCGGGGGTCAGGGTTCACAGGGTCCCCAGGGTCCCCGTGCCGCACAGCAGAGCTCCGTGGGTCTCCGGCTCTCAGTGCTGTGACCGGCCCCTGGGCTGTGCGTGAACAGGAGTGCGACGCTCTTGACCACCCCCCCCAGATGCGACACGGTCCTGTCCCCCCGGAGCCGCCCCGCCCCCCCAGCAGGGTGACAGTCCTGTATTTCTCCGTGGCGGATCAGCGCCGACACCCTCTTCCTGCACACGACTGCGTAGCAAACAGGGAAACTGGGGGCTGGGAGGGGAGGGCACCTGTTCAAGGTCACACGCTGGGCTCTTGGCGGAGCCGAGACCAGAACTCCGGCCGCGGGTCTCCACCAGGCCCTTCCTCGGTGGGCTCGTACCCTGCAGCCTGTGCCGAAGTGACTCTCCCATCCCTCCTTTCTCCCCCAGGGGTCCTTGGTGAGCTTTGTCATGGTGATTTAAGGAGCCTCGCCTAGAAGCCCCCACACGCAGTTCCCCGTCGCCGGGAAGGCTTGGACTCCAAGATGATCATAAAGGAATACCGCATCCCCCTGCCGATGACCGTGGAGGAGTACCGCATCGCCCAGCTCTACATGATCCAGGTGGGTGGGCGCCGGCCACCCGCAGCGCCCCCGTGGACGCCCACGGCTCTGCGGGTCACCGGCGCCGCCCCCACAGCATTGAATATCTGGCATCGGGCTGACCGGACCCTCACGCCCGGTCAGCCCGGGCTGCCTGGGGGCCTGCAACAACAGAGGTTGACTTCCCACAGCTCGGGGTCCGGGAGGTCCAAGACCAAGGGGCTGACTGATCTGGCGGCCGCCTTCTCGCCGGGCCTTATATAGCAGAGGGGACTGGGCGCTCTGGGGTCTGTGTATAAGGGCACTCACCCCAGCACGGGGACCCCACCCTTGTGATCCAATCAACTCCCAAAGGCCTGATCCCTTGATACCGTTGGGGGTTGGGCTTTTTGGGGTGGGGGAGGGGCACAGACACTCGGTCCGTGACCGCCCCTTTGACAGACGGGAAGGTGGGCGGCCCAGAGACATCAGTGACCTGCCCAGGAGCGCCCAGCCTGCCTCCCGCCTCCCAGGCCCACGCGACCCTCGCCCGTGCTGGCGGCCGCGGGGCTGGTTTGTAAAGTCACCAGTGGGTTTGAGGATGACGGCGTCCTGGGGCAGACCGGACGATGCCCCCCACCCTCCCCCCGACGAGGCCGGCCTCCCCACTCCGTGCCTGACCGACTGGAACACGGCGGGGCCCGGAGCCCAGGAGCCCACGCTCGTGGCCCACACATGACCGCAGCCCTGCTGGCTGGGGTCCTGCTCCGCGGCGGCCCCCCTTCCAGCTTCCCCACCAGCTCCCGCTCACCCGCACCCCGCTGCCGTGCCCCAGCCCCTCGGCCAGACTGGCAGCTTCCTTCCCCCTCGAGGGTCTGGCTCGAAACCCGCTCCGGGCCCCGCTCCGTCTCCCCCCAGGCAGGCACGGAAGGATCACCCGGGGCCCTTCGGGGCCGGGGCACCTGGGCAGCAGGGCCTCCCACCCTCAGGCCCGGTCCCCGCAGAGCCCGGACCCCCAGCGCCGCCCTTCCGGGAGGAGCGCGACGAGGCCGCGGGCGTTCACGCAGACTCCCAGCGTGGGGAGCGTGACTGGGGGGGGAGCAGAGGCAGGCACGGGCTCTCTGGGGGACTCTTGGCTCCGAGCTGCCACAGAAGTGCCACTCAGCTGCCTCTCGAGCCACTCACTGTAATTGTCCCTTGAGAGCGGGAAGGGGAGAGGCGACTGCCGTCAGCACCCCCGCCCCACTCGGGGCATCCCGGGGATCGCTCAGCCAAGCAAGTGTCGGTCCTGTGGCTTCTTACTTCCCGCCCAAGCCCAGGGAGCCCCCGAGCTCCCACGGCGGGCAGCCCCTCGGCTCCGCGTGACTTTGGAGGGTGGGGCGCGTCCAGGTCCTGGGGGACCGACTTTCAGCTTCTAGAACATCCAAAGCTCGTCCAAGCATCGAATCGCCTCTGGCTCCGGGTCCTTCAAAAACACCCGCCATCTCCATGGGCTCTTTGGAGGGTTTGTTTTTAATTGAACGTCTCTCCTGATGCCTCCGCAACACGTGTGACACATTCATGACTTCCCACGTGAGGCCTGGCAGGACCCTGGCTGCCCGCCGGGCACTCTCCCCCTCCGGAGCCCCACGGGCGTCCGCCTGCCTCGCCGGCCGGCTTCGCCCCCTCCTGCCGCCTCTCTTGTCCTGCCTGCGTCTGGCCCCGAATCCCCGGGGTCTCCCTGCCCCACGTGGGAGACGGACAAGCCCGTTGTGTGACAGTTTCACGGGTGTGAACGCCTAGCCATCCGATCTCAGCGGCGCTGTTGAAAAGAGAAGTTATTAGAGTCAATGGACGTGTCGGTGCCCGGCCCGGGCACAGGGGTGTGTGCAGAACGCCCCCCGCTCCGCTGGCGTGTCCACGGCGTGGTGGGTGCGTGAGGAACCCGGGGCACACCGGAGTCCACTGCTCGTGGGCTTGGGGCCGCAGCCCCGGGGGTGCGTGGCCGTGGGCGGGGCCTAATGACACGGAGGGAGCTTCAGGGAAGACAGCTGCAATTTTGTGGGAAGAAGAGCAAGACCTTAATGCACGTCCCGCTAGTCCCGCGTACCAGCTGGGATGGCGGCGAGGCAAGGGCTGCCTGCTGCACCAGACGCCGCCCCCGTGAGGCTGCGAACAGGACGGAGGAACCCACGCGCCCACACCTCGTCTCGTGCCTGGCCAGCGCTCGGTGCACGCGTGAACGGTTTAAAAACACACCCGTCTGACCCGGCTGGGAGAGAGCCCCCTGTTCCGGAAGAGGCCCAGCGACTGCTTAGCTCATAGCAAACCGTCCGAGGCGCTTGGCCAGGACCCTGGACAGCTCTGAGCCGCTGCCCTGGGGGTCACCTGGCCTTGGCCCCCCTACCACGCTCATCAGCCCACCACCCCGGGCGCCTCCTGTGTCTGAAGGGCCCTGGCCCCGCTGGGTCTGTGCTTGGCCTCAGGCCCTCGAGGCTCCGGCCCCTCCCAAGTCCTCGGCCTGCGGCCACTCCACTCCCATCTCTGCCTTCAGAGCCGTCCCGTGGCCTCCTTCCCTCTCTGCCTGTCTGGGTCTCTGCCTCCCCTTTCCCTGAGGACGACGGCCGTCGGGTCTGGGGTGCACCCCGGTCCAGCAGCATCTCACCTGGACGTCTCACCTGGACGTCTCACCTGGACGTACCTTGTCACATCTGCAAAGGCCCCGTCTCCGATGAGGTCACCGTCAGAGGGTCCGAGTGGACATGAATTTTGGGAGATGCCACTGAAACCGTCACCCCCCAGGCTTGGGGAGGTCGGTAGCCCCGCCCTGACTCACGGTTCCGGAACCCGAGACCACGGAGAAGGGACTGGGCCAGGATGAGACGGCGCGTTGTCCCGGAGGAGTCCGTGCCGTGGGCGACTGGGGCCGGGAATCAAGCCGGTCTGAGCCCAAGTCACGGCTCTGCCGTTTAGTCACTGTGACCTCGGACAAGCCACCCCCCCCCCAACCTCCACCTGCCCGTCTGTAAATGGGGCGAATAGTGGCACCACACCTCCCCCAAGCAGTTGTGGCAGTAACTAGAGGAGGAAGAACACGCAGAGCACTCACCACGCCCACTAACTGAGGAAGCTCCTGCAACGCTGGGGGGGTGGGGGGGGGCGCACACTGAGCAAATGGCCAGCAAACGTGGCTGCTTCCTGACGGGATCTGGGCCGGGTCCCAGCCGTGCCTTTAAAGACTCAGGGCCGGTGCGACTCTGCTCTGACTCCCTCTGTGGCCTTGACCTGGGTCTGTTTGTTTGTTTGTTTGTGTGTTTGTTTGTTTTTCCTCCGTCTGAAGGAGAGTGGAGATACAGCAGGTCTCTGTGCCCTCGGGAGGGTTGTGCACGCCCCAGGGGGAGGCAGGCCGTGCTGCTGGGAGTGCCTGTGTGCATGGGCACAGGTGTGCGTAGGTGTGTGCATGCGCACAGGGGTGTCGGCGTGTGTGTGTGTGTGTGTGTGTGTGTGTGTGTGTGAGCTTGCTGCTCAGGAAGCTGACCGAAGGTGGCCTGGGCAATGCCGTCACGTCACCATGGAAACAGGTGCTGGACTTCAAGTCACGAGCGTCTCCCCCGTCGGAGCTCTTGGACACGAGGAAGGGCGTTCGAGCGGAAGGACGCTTAGAGGTGACCCAGGGGGCGTGCCCCTCGGGCGACGGCGCCGAGGCCCCTTCCCACGTCCTCCACGTGATCCTTCTGAAGTCCGAGTGGGCGCCAGAGGCCGCGCTGGTTTTTGTGTGTGTGCGTGTTCTCTTACAGTAGATTTATTTCTTAAGCGTTTCAACCGCAGTGTACGTTTAATTGTATAGCGAATCGGCTTCAGGTGCGCAGCTCCAAGGTTAGACAGTCACCTGCTTTCCCAGCGGCCCCCCCATCTCCAGGACTCACCTGGCACAGCTCACGGTTATTAAAACATGATGGACGATGTTCCCTGCGCTGCACTGCACGCCCCCGGGACTGTTTTGAAACCACCCGTCTGGGCCTCACCGCCCCTCCCCCGTCCCCGGCCCCCCTGGCCCCCGACACATGCAGCATCGGATCTCCTGGCGCGCGAACACGGACGTCTCTGCGTGTACCTGATGCCACCCCATCACTCCCCGTTACCTTGTGCTTCTGGATGCTGCTGCACACAGAAATAATTTTCTTTTTTGCGTTCTGTGTTTTTTGGGGTGTTGATTTTGAATCCTGCACCTTTGCTGAACTCATATGTTAGATCTAACCGGCTTTTAGGAGGACTTTTGGGGATTTTCTGCGTGTAAGATTATGTCATTGGTGAATGGAGATAGTTTTTCTTCCTCCTTTCTAGTTCAGATGCCTCTCGTTATTTCTTTTCTTTGCCTAATTTCCATGGCGAGAGCCTCCAGTACCGTGTGGCGTGGAGGGGAGACGGCAGACATTGCCACCTTGTCCCCGACCCGGGGAACACTTTCAGTCCTGGGACAGACGGGCGTCAGGATGGGGAGTCTGTGTGCGCAGCGCTGGGGGTGGAGGGAGCCACGCCCGCCTCGTCTCCTGCAGCTGTGCCAGGGCCGCGGAGCTGGCGCCTGGATTTGGGGGTCCTGAAGTGACCCACAGGAGCCACCCAGTCATTCTAAGCCCCTCCTCCCGCTTGGCACGCTGGGGCTTGGTCTCCGGGGCCCCCTCGCTCCTGCAGAGGGCTCTGGCCCCCCCGCGTGACGGCGCCTTTGTCCCCACAGAAGAAGAGCCGCAACGAGACCTACGGCGAGGGCAGCGGCGTGGAGATCCTGGAGAACCGGCCGTACACGGACGGCCCCGGCGGCTCCGGCCAGTACACGCACAAAGTGTACCACGTGGGCATGCACATCCCCAGCTGGTTCCGCTCCATCCTGCCCAAGGCCGCCCTGCGGGTGGTGGAGGAGTCCTGGAACGCCTACCCCTACACCCGCACCCGGTGAGCGGGGGGCGCCCGCCGCACGGGTCCCGGAAGCAGCCCCCCAAGGACCCCAGACTTCCGGGGAGCTGAGCCTGATAGGGGCGCCCTGAGGGTCCCTCGGGGCTCCCTGTGGGGAACAGGCAGGAGAGAGTTGGAGCACCCTTGGGTGCCTCCCAGCCTGCCCGGGCGGAGGCCGGGAAGCCATGAGTTCAGCGAGGACCGTCTGAGAGCCCCTTGCCATCTGGGAAGGCTCAGGGAGCACCGACTCACTCACTCAGTGTTCGCCTGGGAATGCAGGACAGCCAGCCAGCTGGGGAGAAGCACGACCTGGGGGTAGACCAGATGGCCCCGGTCCCCTCCAACGCTTCACTAGACCCCACGTTGAACTGGGGCTTCCTTGGGATCGCACGTAGGGGGCTCTTCACTCTGTGCCCGAGGTAGTTGAGCACCACTGGGTTAGAACAGGTGGGGGCTGCACCCAGCTGGCTGCCCGCGTGCTGCACAGGTGGGGTCCCCACAAGTCTCCTGGGGCCCCCTTCCCGCACCCTCGGTTCGGGGGGATCCCCGGGGGTACTCCTCCTCCCGACAGCACTCACCCCCAGCCAGGAGAGGGGCGGCTCCCTGGTCGCCAGACCTGACTCCTTTCAGGATGGGGCACAGGGGGCCGTCCCATGGGGTACTTGACCAGTTCAGCCCCCTCAGCAGTAGGCTGCCACAGCTGTGCCTGCATCCACACCATGCCTTAGTCACCTGGACAGTGGGCACAGGGCTTCCAGAAGCTTCCTGCAACACCTCCATCTTCCCCCAAACCCATCCCTTTCTCCAGCCTGGCCTTGGCTCTTCTTGGGCAAGGGGAAGGCCCAGGAGGGGGACAAGTCAGACAAAGCCTGGTCCACCACTGGAGCCTCCTTCTCCCACTGGGGTCAACCGGGGTCACATGGGGGGCCCTTCTCTCCTGCCCAGTGGGTCCAGAAGGCCCTGGCCCTGCCACCCTCCAGCCACCCCATCTACCCTTGGGTCCTGATGGATGCTTTTCTTTTTAAAGATTTTATTTTATTTATTTTTAGACAGAGGGGAAGGGAGGGAGAAAGAGAAGGAGAGAAACGTCAATGTGTGGTTGCCTCTGGCACGCCCCTTACTGGGGACCTGGCCTGCAACCCAGGCATGTGCCCTGACTGGGAATCGAACCAGCGAACCTTTGGTTTGCCGGCCCGTGCTCAGTCCACTGAGCCACGCCAGCCCGGGCTGATGGATGCTCTTCTTCCCGGCTGCAGGTTCACTTGCCCCTTTGTGGAGAAGTTCTCCATCGACATTGAAACCTTCTATAAAACCGACGCAGGAGAAAACCCCAACGTGTTCAGCCTGTCCCCCGTGGAAAAGAACCAGCTGACAATCGGTAAATGTCCCCCATGGCGCTCCTGTGCCGGGAAGGGCCGAGCCACGGGCCACTGCTCTCCAGGCCTGGCGGGCTCCAGACTCCCTCTCCCCTGGGCGAGGAGGTCAGAGTGGGCGGGGGCGCCGGTGAGATGGGACCGGCCTTCTCGGCCCCGCTTTCCGACATGCACCCCAAGTGCCCTCCACCCCGAGCGTCTCCCCGCCCTCCCTCAAGGCCCGCCCACCCCAGGAGGGCCCGGGTGCTTGGCGGGCCGTCACAGGCAGACCACCCGAGCGCCGTGGGCCGGCAGAGCTGCGCCCCCTCCGCCGCAGGGGCCTCGGCCCCTCCCCGCCGCTGACGGGTCCACGCAGGCAACGGCCCCACTGGTCACACCTACTTTCCTCAGAGAGGCCAGCCACCAGGATTTTCTCGGGAAATCACCCAACTCCTAAATGTTGGCGACTGATTTAAAATCTTTGTAAATGAACTCCCGCCGGCCAAAGAAAACACGTCTGCAGGCCAGACGCGACCCAGCAGCCAGCAGCCAGCGGCCGGGAACGCTGGGTCTGGGCCCGGTGGGGATCACGCACGGGTGTTCCAGGCGGGTGCTCGGCCAGCCACGGGGAGGGGCACACTCCCAGCAGCCTCTCTGCCGGGGGCGAAGGGCTCCCCCCGCCCCCGAGAACAACCGCGCACGGGGGCTCGGAAGCTGTGCGTCTGCTGACAGGACGGAGGGCCAGGCGGCCTGAACACAGAAGTTCATTGTCCCCCAGCTCGGGAGGCCAGAAGTCCAGGGCCAGGCGTCCGCAGGGGTGGCCTCCTCTGGGGTCCCCAGGGAGGCTCTGCTGCCGCCCCCTCCGCTGCCGGCAGTCCTTGGGGTCCCTCGGCCTGTAAACATGTCACCCCATCTTCGCCATCTTGCCACCTGTGGGCCAGGCTGGGCCATGGCCCCCCCGCTTTGAGAAGCACGCTAGTCGGACTGGACTAGGGCCACCCTGAGGACCTCATTCTAATCGGGTTACGTCTTTAAAGGCCTGTGTCCAAATACGGTCACACGCTGAGGAACTGGGGGTCAGGGCTCCAGCGTCCAAATCTGGGGGGGACAGTTTCTGCCCACAACAGGAGGGACAGCCCGAGCGCGGCCCAGGCCCCCGCAGCTCTGGTCCAGCCGGCCTGAGCTCCCCCGACCCCGCTCCCCCCAGGGGCCTCCTGCCCCAGTCCCTGACCCCCTCCCCGTGGGGCCTTTCTGCCTGAGCGGCTGGGCATGTGGCCCGCCCCCGAAGCGACGTTCACCCCACCCCCACCCCCACGCCGACGCGGCCGCACTCAGCCGCCCCGACCCCTCCCTGCCTCGGCAGAGCTACTGTCCGTGTCCGCAGACCACAGCCGGCGGGGGGGGACCCAGTGCGAACGCGCCAGGGGGATGAGACCACCGGGGCCTGGCCGGGGCAGAGCCCCCCGATTGCCGTCCTCCCCACACATTCGAAAGAAGGGCTCTCTGGGCCACACACCCTGTCCTGGGGTCCCTCCCAGCACGCGTGTCCCAGCCCTGTGACCACGCGAGCCTCGGGGCTCAGCTCAACGGGCCGTTTGGTTGGGGGGTGGGAGGCAGGTGGCAAGAGGGAGCATGTCTCCTAGCCTCCCAAGAGTCACCGCCATTCTCCTTGTCACCGCCTCCCTCCCAGGTCCTACGAGCCCCCAGTCCCGTTTCCCGAGTGCCCGGCCCTGTGGCATCAGCACCTCCTGCTGGGCACTTGCAGGCTCTTCCTGGCCCTTCCCTCTCGCCCGGGAGGGTGGCCCACGGGCCAGCCTGCCTGAGGACCATAGGGAGTGCCACTTCCCCCTCCGGGGACCGTCCAGGCACTTAGCCTGGAGAGAAATGGCCGCAGGCTCAGCCGCACCCCCATCGCCTCCCCCGCATGGACCCCCTAGTGGCTTGCCCCCCCCCCCGCAGCCTGGTCCATGCTGCTTGGCCTCATGGCGCCCTGCAGCCAAGATGCCTCCTGCCCCGGCAGCTTCTCCTGGCTGTCTCTGCTGCCCCCCGCACCCCCCACCCCCCGCCTCCACGCGGCGTCAACTCATCACTTTACAAATCACTTTACAAATCTGCTTCGGCGATTGGCAGCATGCCCCCGAAACGTGGGGTTTGATGAAATGGTTAGAAAGGCAACAGGGAAACCGCAGACCTCGCTGTCGGGGAGCTGGAGGTCAGAGGGACCCCGAGCAGCACCCCCCGCACCCAGCACCCGGCCCCGGCACAGAGGGGCCCAGAGCCCCAGAAGGACCTAGGGGCGGCAGGGACGGCGGGCAGGGGGAGGAGGTGGAGGTCGGGGTGGGGGTGGCCACTCTCGGCGTCTCCCCGCAGACTTCATCGACATTGTCAAGGACCCCGTGCCCCCCAACGAGTACAGGACGGAGGAGGACCCCAAGCTGTTCCGCTCGACCAAGACGCAGCGGGGGCCGCTGTCGGACAACTGGATCGAGGAGTACAAGCAGCAGGTGTTCCCCATCATGTGCGCCTACAAGCTGTGCAAGGTGGAGTTCCGCTACTGGGGCATGCAGTCCAAGATCGAGCGCTTCATCCACGACACCGGTGAGCGCGCCGGCCCTGGCCCCCCGCGTCCCCGCCCAGGTCCCCGCCTGCGTCCCCGCCACCTCTCTGGGTCAGGCCGAGATTCCACATCCTGTCTTACTCCCGGAAGGTGACCCTGAGCCTGCTTTGTCCTGACCACCTGTAACCCCCTGCCAAGCACCTACACACCACAGGCGGTGACTGCCGTCCCCTGAGGGAGCCCCAGCACTGGACACCCCAGCACTGGCGTGTCCACTCCCGGTGGGGAAACAGCCTCTGGCGGCAGCTCCCTGCTGCTCACCGGCCCCGCCCAGCACCCCGAGGCCCCACCCAGCACGGCCTCCTCCGCCCCCCGCTGGGCTGGAAGCTCCAGGGGCACATCACGGTGCCCTCACACCGTGCAGGCCTGGCCCGGACGGCCTGGGGCTCCTGTCCCGGCTGCCGCCGCCTGGGGTCTTCCCCCGCCAGAGCCCTCGGCTCCCTAACTGTCCAGGTCGTGGCTCAAGGTCAGTGCCACTGGCCTGTCCCAGCCCGAGGCTGCTGGCCTGGGAGCGGCACCGGAGCGTCGCCCTCTGACTCCAGGAGCCGAGGGCCTTCGCTCAGATGAGAACAGATCTACACTGATGATACCATGCTCCACGCATGTCCTGTCAGCTCACGGTCACCCGCGAGGGTGGCCACCGTCTCCCCTGACTGTAGGGGACAAGGGCTCGGTGCTGGGTCTGAACCCAGACCTCCCGGCCTAAGCAAACCTTCTCGTGAAGTGTCCACGACATGCAGGCCCGCCCAGCGTCCTGGGAGGGGGACACGTCTGTGTGCCAAAGCCTGGAGGGCAAGCAAACTCTGATCTCCCCAGAGTCAAGGGCGGGCCCTTGGGGGGAGGGCCCGAGGTCTCCGCGTCTGCCCCCTGCTGGGAGGTGCGTGCAGGGCACCTTGCGGCTCCCTCAGCGGTTTCGTAACCAGCTCTATCGAGGACGAACTTGACAGACCGCACGCTGCTCTGGTGGTGAGAGGACAGTTCCATAGGGTTTAGTATATTCTAGAACCTTCCATCACTTCAGAGTCTTTCGTTCCTGTTCACAGTTCCCCCCACCACCACTCCCACCCCAGCCCCAGTCCACCCCTGTGGCTCTGGTGCTTCTATTATTTTTACACCCTGAAAGCTACCTTATTTCATATGCACCTGTATTCTAATAGAAAAAGAAGGACCCAGCTGCTCTGAACTTGACCTTGACTGTCCATGGGAAATTTGATAGGGAAAGTACACCAGACACTGAGACCGAACACTCCCAGGAAGTCCTCTTCTAGTGTCCGAAATCGCCCCCACCCCCTCACCCCCAGATTCAGTGTGGCTTCTGAGCAGACCCATTGCCCGGGGAGACCACCTGTGGGCCACAGGGGGGGAAACTGAGTCATGGGGCAGTGGTGTGCTGGAGGCTGCCCTGTGAGTGTGGGTCCGAGCCTGGCTGGCAACATGGTGGTGTGTGTGGCAGGCGGGGGGGGGAGGGGGGGGCGCCTTCTAGCCCCCAGCCAGGCCCTCGCGGCCCCGGAGCCGGGACTAACGGACGCCGCCTCTGTCTCTGTCTCTGTCCCCGCTGTCCCCGCCGCCGCCGCCGCCGGGCGCAGGCCTGCGGAAGGTGATGGTCAGGGCGCACCGGCAGGCCTGGTGCTGGCAGGACGAGTGGTTCGGGCTGAGCATGGAGAACATCCGGGAGCTGGAGAAGGAGGCGCAGCTCATGCTGTCCCGGAAGATGGCCCAGTTCAGCGAGGATGACGACGAGGCCGCGGAGCTGGCCAAGGGCGAGGACGGCCAGGCCCAGGCGCCCGGGGCGGCCCCGCAGCCCAGCAGCGGCGGCGAGCCCCTGGCCGGCCGGGGGCTGAAGAAGCAGTGGTCCACATCCTCTAAGTCCTCCCGGTCGTCCAAGCGCGGAGGTGAGCCCGCGGCCCCCGGCCCTGCACGGGGTGGGGGGGCCCTGCCCTCCCCGTGTCCGCCCGGGGCCACCCCGTGCCGCCGCCCGCCGGTCCGAGCTCCGGAAATGGACCCCTGCTTCCGGGCCCCGGGGGCCGCAGCGGCAGGGAGTCACAGCCCGCCTCCTGCTCGTAGGAGAAGCCCCGGGTGCCCCCCACCTCCAGCAGGTCCCCCCAGACTCACCCCCACCGCCCAGGTGAGACAGGCAGCCCAGGCGTGTGGACACCCCACTCCCAGCCTCTCCTGGGACCCAGGGTTCCAGGAGGAAGAGGGGGCTGGGTGGGCCGCACCCAGCACACCGAGGAGGGGGAGTCTCTGCTCCGAAGGGGGCCCGAAGGCCGCAGGCCCTGAGACACGCCGTTCTTGAGGGGACGCCTGTGCACGCCCCTGGGTGCCGTGAAAACGAGGCGTCTTCCGTCACGTCCGGCGTCCGCTCTGCAAACCCAGCTCCCCCCACGCCAGGCGCGTCTGTCCCCGGGCTGACGGGGCCCGTGGGAGCACCCGCGTGCACACCCTTTACCTCGCTCACCTCCTGCCGCAGCCCCGGGTCCCCGCCCGTGCGCGGGCTCTGCCGCAGGGAGTTTAAGGGGCTGGCCCGCGGGCCGGCCCGGGCCAGAGGCACCGAGGTGGACCCGGGCCTGTGTGCCTGACGCCCGGTTCCCTGCCACGTTCCGCCCCAGGACGTGACGACATTGTGCCAGGTGGGCTGGGAGGGGACCACGCTGGAAGTCCCGGGAGCTTCCACAGGGACGCGTTAGGGCCACTCTGCTGCTCTTTTCTCTGCGCCGTGTCACCCTCTCCCGACCCCTCCTGGCCCTCGGGCGGGCGGCATCCCTTGGGCCTGCCCTCTGCCCCTCCGCCCCGCCCGTGGGTGGTCGGTCAGTGCGGGTTTTGCCTTCCAGCCAGCCCTTCCCGCCACAGCATCTCCGAGTGGAGGATGCAGAGCATCGCTCGGGACTCAGACGAGAGCTCGGACGACGAGTTCTTCGACGCTCACGGTAGGTGGGCTCCTGGCCCTCCCCGGGCGCCCGCCCGGAGAGGTGGGGGGGTGCCTAACAGAGTTGGGGGGGGCCGAAGTGGCAGTCACCCACGGGGAGTCCGGGGTGAACAGCTGAGCGTGGAGGACAGGAGGAGGGTGGTGGCGGCCCCAGCAGCCAAGGGCTAACCACATGCAGCGGATGTCAGGTGTCCACGGGCCTGGCAGGTGCGGACTGCTCACGGCAGCCCCCGGAAACAGGTGTGCAGTCAGGGGGCCGCTTTTCCAGGTGTGAACTTACTTCCACAAGAAGCTTCATAAGAGTGTAACTCCTCATAATTTTCCAAAGTTTTTTATTGCAATCACCGTATTTCCCCCCCTTGGTTAAGTTGATACACATCTGACATAAAAACCTCAGACAATGCGAACAGGCAGGAAATGTGCGAAGTGCCCCCGTATGGACCCCAAAATGGGCACAGGGGGCGGACCACTGCCCATGCAGGGAGACGCGAGCGCACAGAACCTGGCCTCGCACTCCCCCCGAGGAGGTACGAGGGGCCTGCAGACGGTCCAGGAGTGGGGTTCCAGGGTGCAGACTGCAGCAGGACCCCGGCTCAGCAAGGGACAGGGACACCAGCAGGCACACGGCTGGGCAGAGGCGGCACCTTCGTGACCCCTCAGCCAGCTGGCCTGCCCTCAAGGGAAAGGGGGGCCGGTGTCCAGGCAGAAGAGAAGTGCCTGGGTTGACCTTGGGCCAGGGGCCTCCAACAAGTGACCGGCAGTTCCTGAGCCGGCCTCCGTACCCGAGGCCTCCCTGACGGTGGGGAAGGACGCTCTGGACACCCCTCCCCCTCCCCCCAGCCAGGCCGAGAGGCTGAGCCCCTCCTGGCTGCGTCCCCGGTGTGAGGAAGGTGCCCGTGTCACGTAGAGACTTTCGGAAAAGCCGGACACAAGACGAGGCAGCAAAGCCAGGAGATGCCAGCGTCCTGGGGACATCGGCCCTGTGGCTGTCACCACACACGCCAGGGCCTGGACGGCTGCCCCTGACCTGGTGGTCACGGTGGGCATGCTCAGAAGCGCAGAAACGGGGGTCGGGGACAGGGCTGCCCACAGCCGCGCTTGCCACCACGAGAGTTTTGTGGACGTTGAAACCAGCCAGGCCCTGGCCGGTGTGGCTCAGCTGGTGGGAGTGTCGTCTTGTGAACTGAAAGGTCGAGGATTCGACCCCTGGTCAGGGCACGTGCCCTAGGTTGTAGGTTCCGTCCCCGGTCGGGGCGAGTACGAGAGGCAACCAATGTTTCTCGTTCACGTCGATGTTTCTGTCCCTCCTTTCTGCTCTCCCTAAACTCAATGAGCATGTGAGTGAGGATTTAAAAAAAAAAGAAAGAAACAGTTACAGAAGCTGGACACACAGAGAAACAACAGGTGGTCTGGCCCTTCCAGCCGGCGCAGCAGGAGGAGCCGGGCATAAAATGCTACCATGTGGGTGACCCCCGAAACCCCGATGCTGAGGGAAGGCAGCCAGACTCTCAAAGACCACGTGCCGTAGGGTCCCCTCTGCGTAAAATGCCCAGAACAGGCAAATCCAGAGAGACAGAGAGCAGACCTCGGGGTGCTGGGGCTGCGGGAGGGGGGCGGGGCTTCCATCTGGGAGACGAAACTGTCCCGGAACCGGACAGAGCTGCGGGCTGCATGGCCCCGTGACGGCTCTCGGTGTGCTTGAACATGGCTGCAGTGGTGAATGTTATGTCGTGTGAATGTCACCCCGGTTTGCTAGAAACGGTCGGGTGGGAGCCCCGTGGGCGTGCCGGGGGGCGTCCGTCCTGTGAAGCAGGGGGGAGACCAGAGCCACCCTTCCCAACCCCCCAACCCCCAACCCCGCCCCCCGTGCAGGCCTCCCAGCCCCGCCCCCCAGCCCCCGCTCCTGAACAGCCTGCTGACGCCCCTGTCGCCCCCTCCTCCAGAGGACCTGTCCGACTCTGAGGAAATATTCCCCAAGGACATGGCCAAGTGGAACTCCAACGACCTCATGGACAAAATCGAGGGCCCCGAGCCAGAGGACACGCAGGGTAACCGGCCAGGTGCCGCAGGGCCTGGGGGCGGTGGCGGGGCCAGCCCCCCGTCCGACCCAGATCCTGCGCAGTAGTGCCGGGCAGCGGGGAGTGAGGGGGTGGAGCGAGGGGCACCCTGGGCCCCGCTTATCACCAGCTCGGTCTGCCCCTGGCTCACGGCCCCCCCCCTCCCCCCGCTTGTCCGTTACAGACAACATGTACCGCCAGAGCACCCCCGAGTTCAGGGTGGCCTCCAGTGTGGAGCGGCTGAACATCATCGAGGTGGGTGCGGGGGCCAGGGGGCCGGGGGCTGTGCTCTGCCACTGCCCCCCAGGGCTGCGGGGCAGGGGGCGGGGCTCGCAGGACCGCCCCGTGGGGCTACAGAGGCATGTGCACCCACGGCCTCACTCACGTCTGCACCGGCCCGGGCCCCCCTCCCCTCGGGTGCCCCTGAGATCCCACAGGGACCGTGGACAGCCCCCCAAGGAAGGACCCGACCCAGCTCCACCTCTGGGTAGTACAATGAGAAATTTGTAAATTCCAGACCAGACGTAAGACCTTCGCCCTGCTCCCCGGCTTCCTGCAGTCCCTGAAGATAAAGAGATTCCAGGGGAGGAAGCGAAAGTCTTTTGGGTGGAAGTGACGTGGCCGTGGCCGTGGCCGTGGCTGCCACCCCGCTGGGGGCAGGCGGGGCTCCCGGTGCCCAATAAAGCTGTCTTGGCCAGAGCCTGTGTCTGCTTTGGGGGTTCTTTGCTCCAAGCGCACGCCCCTCCTCCTCCTCCACCTGTGGGCGGTCAGAGCTGTCTGCGCTGGGGCCAGGGGCCAGGGCCGGCGGGGCCGGCCCACGCTGCGGTCACCGCACCGCTCTGGCCGCGAGCTGCCCGAGGTGCAGAAGGCCTCTGGGGGCCTCGGGGCCCCTGGGGAGTTTGGACGGGGTTGGGGAAGGAGCGCCCACACGACCCTCCCCCCTTTTGGGGGTTTTCTGCTTTGAGGTCTGAGTTCCAATGGGCTTTTCCGGAAGTGTCGCTCTCTGGGGTGTCGATTTCCAGTGCTGGTTCAAGCAGACGGAGCCCCCGGCCCCCCATGTGGCACACAGCTCTGACGGCCCCCGGGAGGGGCAGACGGGGCTCGCTCGAGGTCGGCCGGGGGTGTGCGTTCCGACCCAGCGCCGTTCTGGGCCCCGCCACCCACAGGCGGACCCCCTTGCTGGCAAAAACCCCCAAAGCAGAGCCCCCTCTCCCGGCCCCGTGGAAGGGGGCGGCTCGGCGGAGACGCTGACAGGCGCCCGGGCCTCTCAGGGCCTGTCGCCCCCTGGGCTGCAGGCTCTGTCCCCACGGGCTCACGTCTCTGGCAGGGTGTGCCCCGGAGAGAGCGGGCGGAAGTGGGAGAAGATGGGTCTCAAATGGGCCTCGCCTCAGGGGTCCCCGAGCAGTCCCGGCCGAGGGGCACAGGCGGGAGGCCCTCAGCCCCCCACCGCCCTGGCCCGCCCAGTCCCGTGGCCATGCCTCTGGGCTCTGCCACCAACCTTTCCTCCATAAGCCATTAGCCTGGTCTTAGGGCCACAGGGCCAGGGGGTGGTCCCGTCCTGGCCTGTGGTCTGGGCAGCCGGTGGTCTTGCCCTGCTCTGGGCTGTGAGTTCGTTCCTGCCCCACCGACCAGCAGGAGGGGCAGAATGTGGGGACAGGCGGCACTCACTCACCAAGCTCTGCTGGGCGTGGGTTCCTGTCCAGGCCCCACGGCCCACGGCTGGCTGGGGACCAGGCCCCGCCCACCCTCCTCCAGCCCCGCTTGCCCAGAGCCCTCTGCCTCACCAGCACCTGGGCCCAGTGCCCACGCCGCCCGCCCCTCATCCATCCTCCGTGCGGACACCCGGGTCCTGCTGCTGCCCCGCGTCCTGCCCCACGGGGGCCCCCCAGATGGCTTCAGCTCCTTGGCCTGTCTCCCTGGTCTCCTGGGGACAAGCCCCTCTCTTAATTCCCCTCCCTTCTCCTCTCCCCCACGCCCCCTAACATAACACAGGCACCGCAAGCGCTCGCCGACGGCCCCCCTGGGGCCCGGGGCCTCCCCTCTTCCCCGCCCCGTCACACACCCACCGGCAGCTGGGCGCAGGGAACGGGCCCTGGGGGTGCAGCCACAGGCTGGGGTGGCAGGGGCTCTGGGTCCCCGGCCAGCTCGGCACTGAAGTGCCGCGTGACAGCCGACGAGTCCCTAGGCCTCGCCTCTGAGAGGAACGGCCCCGCGTGTGGCCGTGTGCGGCCTCGGGCCTTGCCGTGCCGTCACGAGCAGGCCCAAGGGCAGGAAGGTTCCTCGCCCCACAGAGAAGGGGCTTCCGGTAGACACGTCCTCGTGGCCCTCCCCGTGCTGAGTGGCCGGGCTCGGCCGCCGCTGGGACCGTGGTCACACTGAGAGTCCAGGAGTGGAAGGGCTGGGGGCCTGGGGCCGGAGGCAGACCCCTCGTACATGGAGGGAGAGGGAGTTTCTAGCCGGCCATGCCGAGGCCCTGCTGCCAGCCGCTCCTAAGTGACCCTGTGACTCGGAGCTGGCTGTCGCCCTGCCTGCCGGGACTGGGACAGCCCACGCCGCAACACGGGCACGCCGTGGGCAGCCGGCCCCAGCGGCCGGGGCAGGCTGAGCCTCTGCCTGTCCGGGGCCGGCAGCCCCTGCTTGGGCCCCCCCAGCAGAGGTGGAGTGTGTGCTTCCAGGGGACTAGACTCCCTCCTCATGTCCTCCGTGTGGGGTCACGCTGGCAGACGGGAGCAGGGAGAGCGGCTTGGCCTCCCCAGGGTGACGGGGCCCGGGCCCAGAGCTGAGCGCCCTGGGGAGCTGACACCAGCCCTCCGCCCTCCGCCCTCGCAGGACGAGGTCAGCCCGCCGCTGGCCACGCCGCCCTCCAAGGTGCACGTGCTGCTGCTGGTGCTGCACGGCGGCACCATCCTGGACACGGGCGCCGGGGACCCCGGCTCCAAGCAGGGCGACGCCAACACCATCGCCACCGTGTTCGACACCGTCATGCGCGTGCACTACCCCAGCGCCCTGGGCCGCCTCGCCATCCGCCTGGTGCCCTGCCCGCCCGTCTGCTCCGACGCCTTCGCCCTGGTCTCCAAGTGAGTGCTCCGCTCTGCAGCTGCCCCCAGGACACCCGTCTGAGCACCTAGACCTGCCGTCCAGCCTGCTCTGCCCAGAGAGGGCAGAACCTGTGCAGGGGGCTGGGCGCAGAGGCAGGAGGGCTGGGGCCCAAGACTGAGCCTCGGTTTCCCCATGTGCTTCCGAGACGCGGGCCTTCCTCCCCAGCCCCGCCCCCACGCCTGCCCAGAGACTGGCCCGGATGCGTCCCCCACTGGGCGGGCTGAGTCCCAGCTGAGACCCCTGGGTGTCGGGGGCCGACCCAAGGCCCCTGCTCTCTCCTGACCCGGCCCGCTCCCCCAGCCTCAGCCCCTACAGCCACGACGAAGGCTGCCTGTCCAGCAGCCAGGACCACATCCCGCTGGCCGCCCTGCCCCTGCTGGCCACCTCCTCGCCGCAGTACCAGGAGGCAGTTGCCATGGTGATCCAGCGGGCCAACCTCGCCTACGGGGACTTCATCAAGTCCCAGGAGGGAGTGACCTTCAACGGGCAGGTGAGTCATGGGCTGGGGGAAGGGAAGACGGAAAACCCGGTAGGGCGGGCGGTGGGCCTGCTGGGTGCCCAGCTCGGTGGTGGCAGGGTGGCGCTCAGGCCCCGGGGCCTCTCTCCCCAGGTCTGCCTGGTTGGGGACTGCGTCGGGGGCATCCTGGCCTTCGACGCCTTGTGCTGCAACAGCCAGCCGGTGTCTGAGAGCCAGAGCAGCAGCCGCAGGGGCAGCGTGGCCAGCGTGCAGGTACTGGGGGCAAAGGCTGTCGGTGCCTGGCCGGTGGTGCAGTGAGGACAGGGCGAGAGGCTGGCTGGCCAGCAGCCAGCGGGCCTGGGGTCAGGGGTGACGACACCGAAGAGGGGCCAGGCCGGGAGCCTCCTGGCAGTGAGCCTGCGTGGGGCTGTTGCAGGACGCTGACCTGCTGTCCCCGGGCGTCTCGGTGAACCCGTCGCATGGCGGCGGCGGCGGCGGCGGTGGCGGCAGCAACCTGGAGAGCAGCAGGCACCTGAGCCGCAGCAACATCGACATCCCCCGCAGCAACGGCACCGAGGACCCCAAGAGGCAGCTGCCCCGCAAGAGGAGCGACACGTCCACCTACGAGCTGGACACCATCCAGCAGCACCAGGCCTTCCTGTCCAGGTGGGTGGGGGGGTCGGGGGCGGGGGGCCTGGGGGGGGGGCAGGTCACGAGGCCCGCTGCCAGGGGAGGACAGGGACTCCTAGGGGGAGGGATGGCCCACGAGAGGGGCCTGCAGGCCCTCGGCCCCACGCTGGGCGCACAGCTCTTCAGCCAGGAGAGAGCAGTTTGTCAGGGACCAGCTGTGGCCTTGTCCGTGCTGAGGGCCATCTTAAAGCACGGGGGCAGACTGTCGGGGGCAGAACTGACCAGGGACAGCACGGGCCCTGTCGGGGCTGTCCCAGAGGCATGGGGCTCCGAGGGGGGTCGGGACCCCCGGTCGTCCCCAGAGGGGCCCCAGCACGCCCCGGGCAGCTGCACCTGAAAGGCCGTGTGGGGGTCCAGCCTCTCTGGGCCTGATGACCCCCGAGGGGCCTCCTTCTGGAGCCGAGGGCAGGCCAGCCCCCGAGAAGGGCCCTGGAGTGACCTGGCGCACCCCTCCCCGACCTCCCCCGCAGCCTCCACGCGAGCGTGCTGAGGAGTGAGCCCTGCCCCCGCCGCTCCAGCAGCTCCACCGTGCTGGACGGCGCGGGGGCCCCGGGCAAGTTCGACTTCGAGACCGCCGACCTCTTCCTCTTCGGGTGCCCCCTGGGGCTGGTCCTGGCCTTGAGGAAGACTGTCATCCCCGCCCTGGACGGTGAGAGCCCTGGACCCCTGTCACGAGGCCGCGGTCGTGTCCCAGGCCCCTTCCTGCATCAGCCCTGCCTTTTGTCCTCCACACGAGGGCCCCTCCCTCTGCCTCCCTCCTGCGGCAGCAGCTCCGTCTCTGGCTCCTGTCCCCCGGAACCTGCCGTTTGCTTTCGTCTCCGAGGCACCTTGGGAGCCGAGGTCCAGAGAGGACAGGGACCCTTTCAGGGTCAAATGGGGATAGACCCAGTCTCTCAGGCCCAGAGGGGAGAAAGAGGAAGCCAGTCACCTCCAAAGCCATCCGGCCCCGGAGACGCCGCAGCCACACTGCTCCAGGGGCCCTCCTCACGGCCTGCACAGACAGCCGAGACTCACGGCCTGCACAGACAGCCGAGACTCACGGCCTGCACAGACAGCCGAGACTCACGGCCTACACAGACAGCCGAGACTCACAGCTGAGCGGTCCCTGCCGGGTGCCGGTCCCAGGACCGGCCATTGCGGCCCTGCCACCCTCACCCTGCAGGGCCCACGTTATGTCCCCAGGCCCCAGAGGGGGACACCAAGGCTCAGAGGGGTGAGACACTTGCTCAGGAGCCGGTAGGCAGGGGCTTACATGTAGTTAAGTGCAGGGAGAAGACAGAGACCGGGGTGTTGCGTTAAAAAGAACAGGACGCAACTGCACGTGATATGAACGAGCCCCACATTTTGTGCATGAGATAGGGGAAAAAAAGCAAAGTTCAAACAGTGTAGCCTATGTTCCCATTTGCGTGTGTGTTTTAAACGGGAGACACACACTACGGACAGGTCGGTCATACAGGTCCCCCCCGCCATCCAAAGAAGCAGTTACCATTCTTTTATATGGGAATTCTTTTGAGCGCCCGCAGGCCCCCCAAAATAACCCATCAAATCACACCAAATATGCTTAATTCCGCCCATCTTTACAAGACGTGTGACATCCTTAGGAGCTCTCTCAGGCTTTTCTGATGGCTTAGCAGCTGCAGACACACAGGGCGATAACGCACAGACGCTCACACAACACAGCTCAGCGCTGCGGCGGCTGCTGGATGCTGAGGTGCTGAGCGTGGTTTCGCGGAAGGAGCTGGGCGGGGCCGTTCCGCCGCCTCTGCCTCCGCACACGCAGCATAAACGCTGAGCGCTCGTTTTGCTTTTCTTTGTAAAAGACAAAGTGCTGCTCGAATTTCTTTTAGCTAGCGAGAATAGGTACAGGCAGTCCTCCACTGTGCGACTTGCCATTTTTTTTTCAACTTTCTACGGGGGTGCAAAAGCAATACGCATGCAGTAGAAACGGCACTGCCAGTTTTGAATTCTGATCTTTTCCCCAGGCTAGCAGTATGTGCTATAGAAGACTCTCTCGTGAGGCCGGGTGTTATAAAGTAGGCTTTGTGAAGATGATTTTTGCCCAACCGTGGGCCGGTGTAAGTGTTCTGGGCATGAGCAGCGTGGGCTAGGCGAGGCTCTGGTGTTCCGTAGCTAACGAGTACGAAATGCATTTTCGACTTAACGATGTTTCAAACTTGCAATGGGCTTATTGGGACCTAAGCTCGTCCTAAGTCGAAGCGCATCTATTAATAGAAGTCTTTCGTAAAAAAAAGCAAAGTGGCACAACGTGACCTTTTGAAAAGCGGGGGATGCCTGTACTTGCAGTCTCACTTTCGCGGGGAGTGGCTGGAACAGCCCGCAGCCGGTTCTGGCCGCGGAGACCTTCCCAACGCCCCGCGGGCGGGCTCCGCCTGCCCCGCTGCGCACGCGTGAGAGCCTCCTGAAGATGCACTTGGGGCGCAAGGCAGCCTTCCATTTGCCTTTTATCATATACTCCTGTACTTTGAAAAAGTTTTTTATGCCACGGTCATTATAACTTTTAATTAAAAAAAAAAAGCGGTTAATAAAGGGGCATTGGCTCCAACAGATCCCAACCCAAACTGATAAGAGACACACTTCCGGGCTTTGCCGACCGACCCGCGCCGCGCCCCGCCCCCTGGGGCGGAGCCAGCTGCCGCCTCCGCGACTCCGCCCCCTCCCCGCCCCCAGTTTTCCAGCTGCGGCCCGCCTGCCAGCAAGTCTACAACCTGTTCCACCCCGCCGACCCGTCCGCCTCGCGCCTGGAGCCTCTGCTGGAGCGGCGATTCCACGCGCTGCCGCCTTTGAGCATCCCCCGCTACCAGCGCTACCCGCTGGGTGACGGCTGCTCCACGCTGCTGGGTGAGAGCCCGCGCGCCGCGCCAGGGGACCAGACTACCTCCCCGGTGCCCACGGAGGCGGAGCTGAGGATCCAGGGAGCCCCGTGCTGGCCCCCCCCGCCCCGGTGCCCAATCCAGACATGGGGGCGCAGGATGGGAGGCCACCGAGTACCCTCCTCGGGCAGGGAGGCAGCGTGAGGGCTGCCGGAAGTCCCTTCTCGGCCCTCGCTGAGAACAGCCCCGTCATCCCACCCGCCCCAGCGTGTGTCCCAGTGTCTTGTCGTGTTCTGGTCCTCGAAGAGCCCGCGTGTCTCGTGTTGGATTGGAGCGTGCCTGGACGGTCCACACGAGTGTCTGTTCTTGTCCTCTGTTCTCTCCCCGTCTGCCTTCAGTCGAGACCGTGCAGAGAAACCCCGAGCTGGTCCTGGAGGGCAGCCCCCTGGCCCCTCTCCCTCCCGGGGAAGGCTTCCTGGAGACCAGTATCCCAGTTCCCGCGCTCACCTGGCAAGACGGGCCCGGCCCCAGCCCGGGCTGCGTTGAGTGTGTGTGAACGCCCTGCTCGTGGTGACACCTGCTTCGCTGGCTAAGCGCTGCTCCTCAGGGACCTCTCCTCCCCTCCAACGCCCCCCACCCCGACCCCCACCCCCAGCTTCTGGCCCCTAGGAGTTTGTGGGATAAAGTGGTGAGGCAGGGAGACCAGGCAGGATTGGCCCTGGGAGCAGGTCCTGGCGCCCCCTCTCTGCACACCGGGGCAGAGCCAGGAGAGGACCCCAAGCAAAGGGAGCCCCTGAGCCTGGAGAGGGGGACAGATATCCAGGGTCCCCCAGCAAGGTGCTGGTCCACCGTGAGGCTGGCAGGGGCCTCCAGGAGATGGGGTGAGGCCCTGAGCCCACGGGGCTCCCCTGTTCCCCCAGGAGGAGCCTCAGTCCTGGCGAGGGCTTGCATTCTCCGGGTCCCAGTCCTTCCCCCACCCCCCAGGAGGCCCAGGCTCCTCCTGCACCCCATCCCGACGTGGGTCCTGCAGCTGAGCCCCTTAACCTCTCCCTGCCCTGCCGTCCGCCCCTGCCTTGGTCAGTGTGGCCGGGGGAGGGGTGGTGAGGGACGCATGTGAGGCCTCAGTGTAGGGCATCCCCAGGAAGCTGCCTCAGGCCCTTGTCGGGGCCCCTCGAGTCCCACTGTGGCCGGCTGGCCGTGGGTGAGGCCGGGCCGGGCCCCAAAGGCCCTGGTGGCCAGACTAGAGCAGATGAGGAGCTGTGTGTGGGGGGTGAGGAGGACGCCCGCGGGGACGTGGGGCCAGCTGCCTGCCTCCCCCCCTCCCCCCGCCTGCTGTGTCTGTGTTGGTCCTCTGTCCACCCCGCCCTGCCCTCCTTTCTCCCGGCCTTGGCTCTGTGCCCTGCACTCACAGCCCCAGCTCGCTCGGGCCCATCCTCACAGTCGGCCCTGCTCATCCGCAGCTGGGGGTGTCCGCCGCGCCTGGCACGGTCGCCACTCGGGACCCCCAGCTCAGGCGCATGCTGGACCCTTCTGCCCACACTGCTCGGGGGCGGGGGGGCTGGGTGAGGTGGGGCCTCCCTCACCCCGGGTCTCCGGTCCCTGTCCCCCTGCAGCAGAGGCACTGCAGACCCATAACATGGTCTTCCAAGAGCACACGGCACCCTCCTCTCCCGGTGCGGCCCCCGCCCCCCGAGGTTTCCGCCGGGCCAGCGAGATCAGCATCGCTAGCCAGGTGTCCGGCATGGCCGAGAGCTACACAGCGTCCAGCATCGCCCAGAGTGAGTTCCTGGCCTGTCCTCCCAGCACCCTCCCCTCTGTCCTGCAGGGGGCAGTGTGCCTCCCCTCCCCCGGGGGGAATAGTCAGAAATGCCTGGACACAGCAGGGGAGGGGGCACTACTGGCATCTGGTGGGGAGAGACCAGGGATGCTGCCCACCAGCTGGCAGTGTCCAGGACGCCCCCACGGTGGAGAGTGACCCAGCCTCGGGTGTCTACAGAGGTCTCTGGAGGGAAGGAGTGTTGGAAGGCGTGGCCCAGTGGGGCCAAGTCCGCCATCTCAGAAAACTGGGGGCCGACAGGCCTGGTCCTAGCCCGGGCTGGGGACGAGGTGCGGACAGGGTGCTCCCTAAGAGAGAGAGGTGGGCGGCTGTTTCTGGACAAGTGCGTGGATGGGTGGCTGAGGGGATCGGAGAGGGGAGGTCTCACCGTGGCCACCAGCCCCTCCTGCTGCCCCAGGGGACAGAGGACACACGGTGGCCCTCGCTCTGTGGCTTCTGCCCATCTTGGAAGGCACTCTGCAGCTGGGCAGAGTCCGGGTCCCCCTTTCTCAGTCCCCCGCGCCAGCCCCAGCCCCCTCCCCGTACCGTCCTCCCCGTCCGCACGGCCAGTTCCCAGGCTGCCCGCAGAGCTGGGCAAAGGCTGGTGTGGTGTCCCCTGTGAGGAGGCCCAGGGGCCTGGGGGTCTCCCCAGCGTCCATCCGTCCGTCCGGGCCTGTGGTGGCCGCTCTGAGGCTCGTCCCTTGTTCTTGCTTCTCAGAGGCCCCAGCCGCGCTCAGCCACACCCCCAGCGTCAGGCGCCTGTCCCAGCTCGCCCTGCCCTCCCCACCCCCCCTCACCCCGGGGCCCCGCCCCCAGGCCCGGCGGGCGAACCCCCGCCTCCCCGACTTGGACGTTGGAGAAGGTACCGGGCATCACGTGGCCTCCACCCACTCACCCACACTCGTCCCCTCCTCTCACTGGGGTCACACCCTGTCTCCAGGCTCTGCTCACCGCCAGGCCCTGCTCACCTGCCCCGCTCAGGCCTGACCGGGAGCGCGGCCCAGCTGGGCGCACGCAGACACCAGGGAGGAGGCGAGGGCAGCCATGGGGCTGGAATGAGGGTTCAGGGGAGACCGAGGATCGTGGGTCAGGCGGGCTGCTGGCGGAGGGCACGAGGCCATCTTTACTGAGATTTCTGGGCATCTCCTGCCTGTGGCCCCCGGAGGGGCATGTCCCAAGCCTCACCTCTCTGGCCGGCGTGGTCGCCCAGCCCCGGGTGGGAACCCAGACTCACAGGCAGGCCTGCCCCACCTCACCAGGCTCCCGGGTGCTGAGGGGGATGGCAGGCCGTGCCTTGGGGTCCCCAGCCTTGAGGCCTGGGGGTAAATGAGGGGCCCAGAGGGGTCCACGAGAGGACAGCAATGGGGCTCAGGGAAGGGTCACCGAGATCAAGGACAGGACTGGGGACAGTGACAGCGAGTCCTGTCCCCACGTGGGCTTGCTTTCCCTCTCTTCTCTAAGCCCACACCCTCGCCTGATGGGCTGCCGCTGGTGCTCTGCTCTGCCCGCATGCCCCCCACCACCCAGCCTGGCAAAGGGACTCTCGCTTTGGCTGCTGCCCTGTCCCTGGTTGGAGGAGGGTCTCGTTTTGGGGCTGAGCCCAGCCCGAGGGGCCAGGTGACCCCCTGGGGTTCCAGCCCGGGGGTCACGGCCGCCCCTCCTGGCAGTTGCTGCGAAGTGGTGGGGCCAGAAGCGGATCGACTACGCCCTGTACTGCCCGGACGCCCTGACCGCCTTCCCCACGGTGGCCCTGCCACACCTCTTCCACGCCAGCTACTGGGAGTCGACGGACGTGGTGTCCTTCCTGCTGAGACAGGTGGGGGCTGCCACTGCGGGCCCTGAGTGCTGAGGCTGCTGACGCGGCCCCGTGCTCTAGACCCCGCCCCCTGACCCCACTGGGCAAGAGCAAGCGGGTGGAGGCACTCGTGGAGGAAGCTGAGATGGGGTGAATGCCGTCGTGGGACAGATGTGAATTTGGGGGGGCCCAGAGGGTGGGCTGCAGTGGGTTGAATAGTGCCCCCGAACCCTCACAGCTTCCTAGTTTCAGCTCCCAGAGCTGGGGGCCCCCGCTGGAGCCTGCCCCATGGCCCGCCCTTGTCCCCCCACCCCCAGGTCATGAGGCACGACAGTTCCAGCATCTTGGAGCTCGACGGCAAGGAGGTGTCGGTGTTCACCCCCTCGAAGCCCAGGGAGAAGTGGCAGCGCAAGAGGACCCACGTGAAGCTGCGGGTGAGGGGTCCTCTGGGTGCCCGGGGCCCATGCCTGTCGCCCTGTGGCATCCTCCAGGAAGCCCCTGGTTAGGGACGAGATAAGCGAGTCACAGGCTGTCCCATTTAATCCTCAGTCTGTGACACCAGGGCTCTTACCCCATTTACGGACCGGGAGCTACAGCAAGGCTCTCGAACTCCCCCAAGGCCACGCGGCTCGGTGGTTGAGCTGGACTTGAACACGGGCTTTCTGGCCTTAAGCCCAGCTCACCCCACGGGCCCACAGGAGGCTGGAGCAGAGCCCCAGAGGCCCCGGCCGCCCCCTCCACCCCCCTCCCCGCCCTGACTCAGCCTCACCCCCTCGTCTTCCCAGAACGTGACGGCCAACCATCGGATCAACGACGCGGTCGCCAACGAGGACGGCCCGCAGGTGCTGACGGGCCGGTTCATGTACGGGCCCCTGGACATGGTCACCCTGACTGGGGAGAAGGTACGGCCCCGGGGAGGCGGCGGGAGCCCCCTGCCTCCCCAACCCCTGGCTGGGGAGTGCGGTGGGGGGCCGGGGACACGCGCCGGGACACAGCCCGCGCGTGACCAGCCTGCCCGGCCCCAGGTGGACGTGCACATCATGACGCAGCCGCCCTCGGGCGACTGGCTGTACATGGACACGCTGGTGACCAACAGCAGCGGGCGCGTCTCCTACGCCATTCCCGAGACGCACCGCCTGGGCGTGGGCGTCTACCCCGTCAAGATGGTGGTCAGGTACACGCCCCCCGGGGCGGGGCGGGGGGCCAGGGGGCGGGGCGGGGCGGAGGCGGGGCCAGCCTGCAGGGCGGGGCCGGGGCGGGGCTCCGGTGGGGTCTGACGGCCTGCTCCCCTGCGCCCAGGGGAGACCACACCTTCGCCGACAGCTACATCACCGTGCTGCCCAAGGGCACCGAGTTCGTGGTCTTCAGTATCGACGGCTCCTTTGCCGCCAGCGTGTCCATCATGGGCAGCGATCCCAAAGTGCGGGCCGGAGCCGTGGACGTGGTGCGGTGAGTGGCCCTGAGGAGCACGGCGGGTGGGCCTGGGGTGCCAGGGTAGGGGACATTTGGTGGGGACCTTGGAGACTGGGGAGCTGGCGCCACCACTTACCAATTGTGTGACCTTTATTTGACCTCTTTTAAAAAATTTTATCTTTATTTTTAGACAGAGGGGAAGGGTGTGAGAAAGAGACAATGTGTGGCCGCCTCTCACGCGCCCCCTACTGGGGACCTGGCCCACAACCCAGGCATGTGCCCAGACTGAGAATCGAACCAGAGACCCTTTGGTTCTCAGGCCGGCGCTCGATCCACTGAGCCGCACCAGCCAGGGTCATTTGACTTCTTGATGTGGGCGCGTCAGTCCCTCACCTGGGAAGTGGGGTCCTCACGAGACCAGGCCCTCTGCTTCCGGGGGAGTGTGTGTGGGATCGTGCGACTTGGGCTGTGGGTGCTACGCAAGGGCCCCCACCATTGCTGCCCCCCCCCCCCCCCCGCTGTTGCAGCCTGTTCAGAGACGGCCTCTTCAGTGGCCCGAGTGGGGGCTGGCCGGGTGAGGGGACAGGGCAGTCCAGGAGGGGGACGGGGCGGCCGTGGGACACCCAGGCCTGCCCCTCGCCCCCAGGCACTGGCAGGACCTGGGCTACCTCATCATCTACGTGACGGGCCGGCCCGACATGCAGAAGCAGCGGGTGGTGGCGTGGCTGGCCCAGCACAACTTCCCCCACGGCGTGGTGTCCTTCTGCGACGGGCTGGTGCACGACCCGCTGCGGCACAAGGCCAACTTCCTGAAGCTGCTCATCTCCGAGGTGGGTGCGGGGCGACGGGACCTGGTGGGGCGGGGCGGAGGGGGGGGCCGTGCCTCCATCCCCCCCCCCCCGCCCACACCGGTCTCGCCCACAGCTGCACCTGCGCGCCCACGCAGCCTACGGCTCCACCAAGGACGTGGCGGTCTACAGCTCCATCAACCTGTCCCCCATGCAGATCTACATTGTGGGTCGGCCCACCAAGAAGCTTCAGCAGCAGTGCCAGGTGGGCGGGCCGACCTTGGCGGGTGGGGGGGCGGCACGGGCGGGCAGCCGAGAGGGCCCGCCCCGTGACAGCCGTCCTCCTCGCCGCCCCTCCCCTGCAGTTCATCACGGATGGCTACGCGGCCCACCTGGCCCAGCTCAAGTACAACCACCGGGCGCGGCCGGCCCGCAACGCGGCCACCCGCATGGCCCTGCGCAAGGGCAGCTTCGGCCTGCCCGGCCCGAGCGACTTCCTGCGCTCCCGGAGCCACCTGCTCCGCACCATCTCGGCCCAGCCCGGCGGGCCCGGCCCCAGGCACGAGCGGACGCAGAGCCAGCCCGAGAGCGAGCAGCGTGGCCAGCGCAGCATGAGCGTGGCCGCTGGCTGCTGGGGCCGAACCATGGCTGGCCGGCTCGAGCCAGGGGCAGCTGCGGGCCCCAAGTAGGGCCCCCTTGGCGCGGCGCTGTGGTCTCCATGGTGCTAGGCCAGGCGGCCAGCCCGCCACGAGGCCTGGACGGGGCACAGGCCATCGGCCGGGAACACGCTCGTCCCGGGACCCAGCGGAGGACACTGGCTGTGCCGCCCGCAGCCCTTCCCGGCCCTGCCCGACGTCCAAGGGTCTTGAGGGCGTCCAGCTCGTCGTTGAAGCTGGCGGGACAACCAGCCCCAGGACGACAGAGGGACCAGGAACCCCCACGTGGACGGACCTTGAAGGTCCTCACAGACAGCTGCCCTGCGCTGACCTTGCAGCATCCTGATGCCAGGCGTGGGCCCAGCCTGCCGCCTCCCTGGCCACGAGCTTGACACCTGTGTCCCCTCTCACCTGGTAGCAGCTCCGACAGGGGACCACCTGCTTCGTGTGAACTCAATTTACTCAACTCTCCAACCTCACTGGTTTTGCACTGATTTTTGGGAGCAGAAACCTGTTACCCTCGCCTGCGGCCACAGACCATTCACACGCACGAAAGGCGGCCTTGGCCGACCCAGGACCCGTCGCCCGGCCGAGGCTCCGGGCAGCAGAGGCCTGGGCCAGCAGGGGAGAGAGGCCGTATCTCGTTTCTGCAGCTCCGCCCCACTGTGGCGGCCCCAGACCTCCGCCCACCTGCCCCACCTGGAGTCCGGGGAGGCTGGGGCCCGGCTCCCGAGGAGCCCTGCCTGGGCCTGCGGGGTCTGGCCGCCTCTTCCGCGCCTCGCCTGCCACCCGTCACGGCCCCACGCCTCGGCCCCCCCGCGTTTCTACGCCTTTCTACTTCTCCAACCTGATTTCTACGAGGTTTTTTTAAAACGAGCGATCCTTGGCTGCTTCCTTTTCTTAACTCTTTCAGCACCAAGCGCAGCCCCTCCCCGTGGCAACCACCCAGCACTGTGACGAGTCCAGCCAGGTCCTGGGTCCTGGCCTCCTGCCCTCGCAGTGGGCGGTGGGCTCCCGCCTCACCCGGCCCCTTGGTTCCGCTGAACTTCTCTCCTCTGGGGCGGGTGGGGCACACACTTCAGTTTTTTAAACGCCAGTTCCGTTCCAATGCCAAGTCCGAGAAGCCACAACAACCCCCGTCGTCAGCTTAAGGGCAGGCAGCCGCGGCTCCCCGTCCGACCCAACCGAGACCAACCTGCCCCGGCCGCTGGGTCTGCGCGTCAGCTCTGCCTCCCCAGAGCCCACTCGGGTCTCGGCTGCAGCGCTCTGCTCCTGGCGGCCCCTCCGCCCGCCCGGAGGCGGGGAGCCTGCCTGCGATCGGCCAGCCAGTCGGCTGCGGGCTCACGTCTGAGAAGCCGCTGCCACCTTGGATACGGCCTTGGTGCCACGTGGGCTGGGGCGAGGGGGGGGGGGAGTCAGTGTGCGCCGGTGGATGCCCACATTTCCCCATGTGTAGATATGTACAGCCTAAGGGTCGTGTAAATGTTCTGCAAAAGTGGGTCTATACAGAGTGAAAGCTATTTATTTTGTGCAGAGAAAAATGTCTGGAGGGATGGGACCTTCAGGGTTTATTCATATTTAAGATGTAGCTTTTTGTTTCAGGCGTCGTGTATAAAGCACCGATTATTTTACGGACCGAGTTTTAATGTAACCATTGCAGTGAAAGTGCAATACCCAACCCTCTGCTTCCCAGCAGGAAATCGCTCAGCCGACAATCACGGCCCCGCCGGGGGCCCCTGTGGCTAGTGCCTCCGCCTCCCCCCCGCCCGGCCCACCGCCTGGACCACTAGCCATCGGAGGAGTGCCTGGGAGAGTCTCGGGCCGCCCGCAATAAAGGCCGAGGCCCTCCGGCCAGGGGAGGCGTGTGGGCAGCAGGCTCGGCCTCTCCCAGGGGGCGGCCGCCCCACAGCTCCGCGCCCCCCACCCTCCCGCCCAGCTGCCAGCCACGCCAAGGACAACAGCAATAGTCCCGGGGCACCCCCCCGGCGGCCCTTAGCCATAGACAGCGAGACGGCAGCCCACCCTCCCCGCTGGTGTCTCTCTGCTGCATCCAGGTCTGCTTCCTGCCTCCCTCCAGGTTCCTGCTGGCACGGTCTCCTCGGGAGGAAGCGCCGGCGTCTCAGAAGCTGAGGGGGTGGGGGGGGCAGAGTCCTTCAAAAATACCAAAAATGTTTACAGCGTCGGGTGCTGAGCTGCAGGGCTCAGGCCTGACCGGTCATTACCAAAGGGTGCGGCAGGCCTTGCCGGCTGCCGCCCCACCTGGGCCTGTCAAAGTAGAAGCCTTAGTCCCCTCCCCGCCCCCGCCCGCGACCCCACACCTGGCCACCCGCCTGCCTTCCTCCGCTCCTTCCTCCGCTCCCACAGCGGGATTCAGCAGAGACCCCCCACCCTGCCCGCCTGCCCGGTCTCCGCGTCCGCCCCTCCCGTCCATCTGTCCCTCCCTCCGGGCTCTGTGTGAGGTGTCCCGCCCCGCCCGCCCCTGCTGTCCCTGTCCCGTCGGGCCTGAGTGTGCTCTGTACACAGCGTCACCGCCTGTCACACCAATTAAAGAAGCAGGAAGGCTTCCTTCTGCGTCTCTTTACTACACCGGCGACCAGAGCAGCGGGTGGGGGTGGGGGCGGGGGCACAGCCCGCCCAGCTGTGCCTCTGGTAACTCCAGTGGACTCGGGAGGGCCTCACCCGGTGCTGGCCCCTTCCAGCCCCTTCCTGGGGCGTGACCTTGGCTCACCCTCACCCCTGCCCACTGACGTGGGTGCCCCCAGTCTCTGCTTTGCAGAGGACACAGCTAGAAAGCTGGGCCAGGCCCCCTCCTGGGCCGCCTGGCCCTGCACCGGGGCCCTCGGCCACTGTCACCTCGGGGCGGGCCCCGGTGAGGGCAGCAGTCTCCCTTCCCCCCCGGGGGAGCTGGGCTGAAGAGCCGGGTGGGGTGATTCCGGGCAGGCCGACCCGAGGATGAGCGCACGACCACCAGGGCCCACCCCGGTCTCCCCGGAAACCCCGGCAGCCCTTGTGTGTCCCCCGGAGGTCCGGCAGCACCCTCCCCACCTCCGCACAAAAAGCAACAGAACAGAAGTCTCCGACCAGGGAACGTTTAATGTCTGGGAAGCTGTGCGCTTCCAGAAGGCTGACAGGGACAGCCGCCCTGGTCCCCCGCACCTGAGAGGAGGCAGCCAGAGCCGGTCCGCCGGAGACAAGCCGCACCCATCTGGCCTCCTGCCGCCTCCCTGCTGGGCCCCCGCCAACGCCCGCAGACCTCGGTGGGGCCTCAGGGCAGCAGCCCCGCGCGCATCTGGAAGGCCAGGCCGTCCCCTCGGGTGGCTTGCTGGGAAGAGAGCACACGGGAGGGGCCTGTCACAGACAGAGCTGGGGGTGGGCCCTGGGCAAGGGGGTGACACCCACCTTGTTGATCTCCCTGTGTCGCTCCTTGGTTACGATTTCTTCCAAGACCTCACCGTCTCCCTTAATGAGCCTGGGGGAGGAGGGGCGCGGGCTGAGCCTCTAACATGAGAGCAACAGAACCACCACCGCCCGCCAGGCGGAGGGATGCCCAGCCTCGGCCCCGCCCCTCCCTCTCTCCCACCCTTCGGTCAGGGGTGAAGGTCCCAGGTAGGCTCTGCCACCAGATCAGCCCATGGTGGCTCTGTGATGACCCCCAGAAGGCCCTTCCAAACCCTGCGACGGCTTGCTTCAGGCAACTGGGAGGAGAGGCCCCGGAGTTCTCTTCTCCCAGCCCTCAGCCTTTTCAGAGCAGCAGCCACAGCCCCTCCCCCCAACAGTGCCACCAGGGGCCGGGCCCCACCAAGCACTCCGCACCTGGTGCGCCCAGTCTCAGGGTCCACCACCTTGCGGATGACGCTCTGCCGCGCGTCCCACTCCTCCTTAGTCATGGGCTTCATGGCCTGGATGCGCGACTTCTGCTCGTCCGTCAGCACTGCAAGGAGAGATGGCAGGGAGGTGGCGGTTGGGTGGCGGGGGGCGGGCCCACCCTGCCCTGCCCTGCCCTGCCCTGCCCTGCCCTGCCCTGCACCCCAGCAGCTCGGTACCTGGGCCGTCCTCCTCCTCCCCGGCAGATCGGTGCCACTGGTCCAGCGAGGGGCCTGGCAGAGCCTCGGGCTGCTGCACCTTTGCTTTCTCCTTGCCTTTCTTCTTCAGCTTCTTCTTCCTTTTCTTCTTCTTCCTCTTTTTGTCCTTGTGCTTCCCCTTCCTCCGCCCATCGCTGGAGGAAGAGGAGGAGGACGAGGAGGAAGAGGAGCTGGAAGAGCTGGAGGAAGAGGAGGAGGAGCTGGACCGTGGCCGCCTCCGCGCCTTGTGTTTGCTTCTCTCTGTGATGCAGGGAGAAGGCGAGGCTGGAAGGCCGGGAGGGGGAGACGTAACCCTCTGTCCCCTTGCTCTGGCCCGCGTAGGCTCAAGCCCAGCAGAGGGATGAGACCGCCTGGCACGGATCAGCACTCCCTGAAGAGGCGCCTTCTGGGCTCCGCACAGCCGCTGGCCGGGAGCAGGGCGGCCAGACCCCGCAGCTCAGGCACAGCTGCACAAAAAGCATGATCAGGCGCTCCCGATATGAGATCCATGCTGAGCGGGCACCCCAGCCCCTGGATCCTGGGCGTCTCAATCCAGACATCCACGTTGTAGTCTCTGCACCCCTCTGACTCCTGCTCACTGCGACTTCCCCACAACTGTTCCCAGGAAGCCCGCCCAGCTGCCTGCAGCTTCCCCGCCAAGTTCCGGCGCTCCGTTCCCATTCCTCCTGGTCCTCACCCTCTGCCCCAGAGGAGGTGGTGCTGGCCTTGCGGCCTTGCGATCTAGAAGCCGAACAGCTCTTCCGGGCGTCCTTACTGCTCTTTTTCCTTCTCTTTTCGGACCCTCGCCCCCGGGACCGGCTGCGGCTCCTCGAGCGCTTGCGAGAGCCAGAGTGAGCCATAGCGCCACGGACTGGAGACGGGGAGACGCGCTGAAACTCAAGTTCTCAGGGCAGGCCCGAGGGCTGGGCTGCAAGGTCCTCTGGGGCCCACTACCCCATTCCCTGCCCCGGAGCAGGATATGAGAAACTCCGTGACAATATCACGACTCGGAATCACCCCCAACCCTGGGAACTACAGAGCCTCCGCTGCGGCCCCTTTAAGGACCCGCCCCCGCCGGGACGCTCACGCCTGCGCAAGTGGCTCCGGCAACCCCTAGGAGCCGCCGCGACCCTCACCCGGGAGGTGGGTCCTGAATCCCTTTTCACGCGCTCCTACCCTCCACCCCCACGCCCTCGGTCTTAAAGAAGGCCCCCGAGCTGTTCTGTTCCCTCCTAAACTGCCCCCTGTCCCGCTCCGCAACACGCCTTCGCGTGAGGAAGCGGCTGCAAGGTGACTTCCGGCCCGGGGCGGTGCCCTGGAAGGCCCTCCGGCTGCGAAGCGGAGTGCTGCTGCCTTTGGTTCTGAGGCCCCACGTTCCGTCTCTGGGGCGGCTCGGGAAACGGAGCCTGGCGCACCCACTTCCGTTTAAGAGGCGCGCTCTGGAGATCCCGGTTCCACCTCTACGCCGGTGTGAGGTCGTGCTGGCGTCTGCGGCTCCCGGCCCAGAGTCGTGCCTGGCTCCAGTCCCGGAGCTCGCAGGTCTTTTGCTGCAGCTGTGCCCTTCTCCAAGATTGTCCTTCCAGCGCGCCCGCAGCACCCCGTCTCCCTCACGTCCCAGCCGAGGCGACCCTACTGCGCGCCGCTCCCCAGCCTGGGTTGTCTGCAGACCTTGTCCACTCCATTTGGCTGTGAGCTCCCGGGCTGAGAAGCCCTGGTCTTTCCAACGTCCCCAATCAGTAATACGGACACCACCAACTCAAATGCCCATAAGGGGCTAGAGAGATCGTGGCAGCGAACGAGGGAGGGACTCCCGGGACGGGGTGCACCGCAGGTCTGCTTAGAATGGGCACCTGACACTCTGCTCCAGCCGGTGTCTGCGGTGTGGGGATGGCGCCTGGAGTCTCCGGGCGTCCCCACCGAAGCCGGAACTCGTGGTTTCAACATGGAAATCCCTGGTTTTCAAACGTGCCACCCAGTGTGTACAGCTGCACTTCTCGCCTAACCAGGGGCCACGCAGTTGCAGACTCTTCAATAACAATGACTGCAGCAAACTCAGGCAGATGTGGTAAAGCGCTTTATAGACTCTGTACATCACCTGGCCTTCACAGCAGCCGTGGGACACAGGCACTGTCCCGATGGGGAAGCTGAGGCACAGAGGTCAAGTGGTTTGCCCACAGTTACGGAGCTGGCAGTGGCAGAATCGGAATCTGGGCCCCGGGCGGTCTGGCTCCAGGGTCCCTGCTCGTAACCCCTCCACAGTAGCCCCCCAACACCACCTGCAAGACGCACCTGGTGGCCGACCCACCCGCATCCCCCTTACAGGCGGGGACACTCACCCCCGGTCGTGGTGTCTGATGCCGACCGCTCACACCTGTACATTTCTCTGGAAGATTCCCTTGGCCACTGGGAGCCACTTGTCCTGGAGGTGGATGTCTGGGAAGTTTCTCTTTCTCTCTCTCTCTCTCACACACATACACACACACACACACACCCCCTCTCCGGACACAGCCTGCTGTCAGACTGATGCGGGGGCAAACAGGTGGACTCAGGCTCCAGAGCTGCCAGCTGAACCCACGTCCTGGGCCAGCTCCTTCCTGCCGTGTCCTGCGTCCCAGACCCCCGTCCCTTGACAGTGCTCCCTTGATGACCAGGAATCCCCTTCTCAGGCTCTGCTTCTACCAAACCCGGCCTAAGCCAGCCGCCTGCTGAAAGAGGGACCTGCCTGTCCTCTGGAACCAAGACGCGCTGAGGGGTGCAGGGAGTTTATTTCTGCCCCGCCTGACGTGAGGTGGCAGAGCCCTCTGCCGTCTCGCTGCCCCCACCCCTCCGCAGGTCCCGACCAGGCTCAAGTCAGTGCGCACACGTCCACGGTGGCGGGCTCCTCTCGGGTGAAGCCGTCGGCGAAGCCCTCGTCGTCCACCAGGTCGGGCTTGCGGCAGCACATGGGGCAGAGGCGGTTGCGCACGGCGGAGGCCCGGAGCCACACGACGAGGTTCCATCGCTCGCCGGTGCCCAGGGGCCGGGCCCCGTGCAGCTGGCCGCCCCGGTGCAGGACGCCCCGGCCCACAGCGTGCTCCACCTCCAGGGGCTCGGCCAGAGCTGAAGGCCCCTGCGGACAGCTGCGCTCAGGCCTGGGCACTGCTGGCTACCCCAGGCCCTGCCCGGCGGGTCACACACACTAACCTGGAAGAAGCCCCCGAAGTATAGGGCGCCCCCGGTGAAGGCCTTGCCCAGGGCCACGTTGATGGTCAGCTCGGCATTGTCGTAGTGGCAGCCCAGCTCTCGGTCCTGGCCTGGCGCGTACTTGACCACGAAGGCCCTGTGGCTGTCCAGCCAGGCTCCCCCACAGTCGGGGTACAGCAGGGCCATCAGCGGCCGCAGGAAGCGCTCCCGCAGTGGCGTCACCAGCGGCTCATCCAGGCCCAGCTCATGTAGCAGCACCTGGGAGGAGGGTCCTGGGGTCAGCAGCGAAGCTGGGGGGGCCTCACCCTGGGTCCCTGGGCTGTCCCTTGACTTGTTTAACTTCGTGATCCTTCCGCGATTCATCTTAATACAGACAGACCGAGGCACAGAGGGGCCACACCACTGCGGGGGAGTCCCCCACAGCCAGGAGTCCCCGCCGCCTCAGCCCCCAGGGCAGAGCCTCACCCACCCCGTAGTTGTTCATGGTGTTGGGCCGCCCCTTGGGCAGGTCCGACTGCTCGAAGTGCTCCAGCTCCTCCAGCAGGGCCTGGCAGAACGGCGCCGTGAACACCGGCAGCCGGTAGATCCGCTTCTCCTCTGCAGGGAAAAGGACAGCCCAACCCGTCACCTGGGAGCTCAGTGCGGGTTTCAGCCTGCGTGAGCGGTGTGAGCCTGGGCAGGTCCTTCCCCTTCCCCAGTCCCGCTTTCCTCTGCTGAACAATGCGGAGAACTCAGGCACCCCCCTCCAGGGGGCTGTCACAGCAGTTCAATGATGCACCGTGTGTGTGTGTGTGTGTGTGTACACGCAGCAGGGGACGTTTATTCTCCAGCTGCCCCTTGTCCCAGGAGCCTCTCATCCTGCCTCCACAGTGACCACTAGTGTCTGGACTCAGATGTGAGTCCGGTGCGGCCCTGAGGTGGGAAGGGGTTGCAGCCCAAGGACCCCTGGCCAGCCAGCTGCAGAGCCGTGCCCGGACCACGGAGCCCGCCTCAGGCTCTCTCTGCACCCCTCCCCCCAGCAAGCCACCAGAGTCTGCACCCCAACCCAGATGTTTCCTGGGGCCTCTTCCCCCAGGGAAGGCTGAGAGGGGCCATTCTTTCTTGGGGGGGGGGAGGAGCCTGACCCAGCATGGAAATGGGGACCTCTTTTGGCAGACACAGCAATGCCCCAGGGGGCCGGGGTGACTCGGCCAACACCCAAGCACGCTGGCCCCATTCAGACCGCCTCCTTGCAAGCTCAGCTGGTCAGGAGCAGATGGCAATGAGAGCCCCCTCTGACCCCACCCTGCCCCTTGGGGCACTTCATTCCACATTCCATCCACCTGGTCCTCAACAGGGCACAGGCTCCCGGGGTGCAGTGGCCTTTCCATCTGTCCCCACAGTCAGTGTCCCCGGGCCCAGGACAGCAGAAATCATAAGCTGAGGAGACACTTTCTGTGCAGTTACTTTGCTCCAAGCCCTCCATGTGCATCGCCTCTCACTTGGTCATCACGACGCCTTTTAAGGTGGGCGTACTATCAGTTCCGTTCCCCAAACGGGGAAACCGAGGCAGGCAGAGTAAGGAACTTGCAAGGCTCCCCCGCCCGGGACTTGTGCTGGGTCTGGCCAGTGGGAGACCCGGGCAGCATAGCTGGGGACGTTGGCGTTTGGCGTGGCTGGGAGCCCCGGCTCAGGGCCACAGCGGCTCTCTGGCAGCCCCTCCCACAGCTCCACGTCCCGGCAGCTTCAAGAAACTTCACTCTTGCCCACTGCTCAGGCCCAGGGACAGATTTGCTCCCCTCCAGTGCTGGCCCTGCTGGGGTGCTTCACCCCAGCCCACACCTGTCTCAGCTGTCCTTCTGTCGAGGCCTTCAGTCCACCCCCACTGGCTCACGCCTGACAGGGGCACTGAATAACTGTGTCTTGGCTGAGTGAGTGAGTGAGTGGATCCAGCTGCCCCGCCCCCATGCCTTCCTGCTCCTGCTGGCCGGGGTCTTGGAGTGTCCCACCCCCGCGCCCTGCCAGGTCCCGGGGCCAAGAGCTCACCGGACACGGTCTCCAGCCGCCGCAGCAGCCCCTCGAGGTTCGCGCCCGGCAGTGTGCTGTACTCAGCCGCGGCCAGAAACTCGGGAGCCAGGGCCGCATCCTGGGGGCACAACACACACCCACTGTGGGGCGGGCAGCCCCCCAGCCCAGCCGGGGCGTCGCCTCCTCGCGGTACCCCTCGCCTGCCCGGTACCTGCAGCGGGCTGTAGATCTCGGGCCGCGCCGGGTGGTAGGAGCTGGCGATGAGAGCTTTCCTGGCCGCCGACTCCTGCCCCAGCTGCTGCCGCCGCCGCACCTCCTGCTCAAGCTGGGGCGGCACAGCACCTGCTTACCGGGATGGGCCTCCCAGCCCCGCGAGGCCATTGTACAGATGAGGAAACTGAGGCTGAGGAAGGCCAGAGCAGGCCCAGGCCGGGAGCCAAGCTTCTGACTCTGGTGGGTTGATTGCAGGTGCCAAGCTGCTGGCTGAAGGGGACTCCTTCCAAAGGGGGCCCGCCCCACTCTGGGCTGCACCAGCCTCAGCCAGGCTGGGATGAGGGCCCCTCAGGTGCACCTCAGCCAGCTGGGGCCACTCAGGGAGGGGGACCGAGTCCCAGCCAAGTCTGTGCCCCAGCAGCTGCAGAGGCCTCGCCGGGAGCTCCCACCACTAACCCGCGAGGGAGGGAGGAGCAGGGCACAGGGAGCATCCTTGGTGCCACCGGGAGAGGGTCAGGGGAGGGACCTCAGCCCCAGCTGCTGGGAAACCTGGAGCAAGCGACTCCCCTCTTTGAGTCTGATGTTTCCATCTCAAAAGGGCGTGGAGTAGACAGCTTGGCATTTCCCGTTTTCCTGGTGCCAGGCCTCAGATCAGCCTCAGCCGGTGAGTGGACACAGGAAAGGGGAAAGGCGGGTTTAGGAGCCCTCCAGGGATCCGGGCCCCGCAGGCCTGAGGCCGGGAGACCCACTCTAACTGCTGACACGCATCTAGAAAGGAAGGTCTAGGCTGGGAGTGTAGGGGGTGTTGGGTGTTACCTCTTCTAACAGCTGCTGGAAGTCCTTGGGGCTGACGCAGCCTCGGCTGCGCAGGATCTGGGGGCAGACAGGTCAGTGAGCGCGACTGTGTGACTCTGAGCAAATCACTTAACATCTCTGAGCCACGCTTTCCCCGCCTACGACGGGGTTGAGAGCCCCGGCCTCACAGCGTCCTCGTGAGGATGAAATGTGATAAGCGCTCCACCCAGAGCTGGGCTCCCTGCTGCTCCGCCAACACCAAGCCAGGCCCTGCCGGGAGCACTGCACGTACACGTCGGTCTACGCACTCCTCACGACAGCCCCACGACGGAGGTGCTGTCATCCCCCGTTTAAGGGGAGACAACGGAGAGGCGGAGCCGTTCTTGTTGTCAGACCTGAGCACGCGGGCAAAGCAAAGGACCTGGGGACAAAGGTCCCTCCTCCGCCAGCCTTCCCGCCCTGTTCTCTGCAGGACAGATAGCGGCCACTCACCGGGCCGTAGTCCTGGCGCAGCTGCTCCTCGCCCCGGAAACGCACGTGCAGCCCATAGCGCGCCACGTACAAGTTCTCGGAGCAGAAGCAGGCGCAGCGACAGAAGCGCCTCGAGGCACCTGCCGTCGCCATGGTGAAGAGGCGTGTGCGGCCCCGCCCGCTTCCGTAGGAGCACTTCCGGGTACGCCCCCGAGGGGCGTGGCACCAGCGGCTGAGGGTCCAGTCTAAATTTCCCAAGCGCGGGAAAGAACGAAGACTCCACCCCAGCTAAACAGCCTGCGGTGCAAAAAGATGATCCGGGCCGGGAGTGGAGGTGGTGGGGCGGTGGCTGCTTGTTTCGCCTTACAGTGTCCGCATCCACGAGGCGAGACTTACTCGCCCCACTTTCCAGATGGGTGAACTGAGTCACATCTTCACAGGACGTGGAGAGGCAGGGACTCGGAACCCAAGACCTTTGGTTGCCTCCTTTTTCTGCTCGGAGCTTTCGTAGAACCATCCGACCGCACAAGGACAGTTAAAAGCGCTCTGCGGTTCTCTCTCGTTTCCTCCAAACGCTGCGAACCATCCCGTTCTGTGCGTCTGAGCTTGGGTTCAGCATTTTCCCCGGGTCCCTGCGTCCCCTCTCCCGCAGTCTCGGGTTTCTCAGCTCGTAGCCCTAGTGTCTCACGAAAATGCTCCGACCGGCGTGACTTCCGGTGACTCTCCTGAAACTTTCAGGTGTGTGTGTGGGAGGGGGAAACAGGGCGTGGCCTGCCCGCGGCCACATCCCGCACAAGCAGATGGGTGATATATCTCTTATAGAGGGTGCGTCCCAACCTCGGGGAGACCCGTCAGAGCACATACGGGGACCCCATCGTGGTTGGTAGATACCCTCACACATTCCACATACAGAGTTGCACACTCATGCACACCCTCACACCTACTCAGTACATTCACATCCCGCACACACCTGCTCACGCTCACAGTCCTACTCCTTTTGTGTGGCAGCCTGAGCTGCAAGGCCCACCCGTTGCTCTCTCTGGAGCCCCAGGGCCCAGAGGGAGATGGGAGACATTCACACCCTGGGGTGCGGTGCCGGGCTGTCCTCCCCCGCGGTCTCAATCAGCACCTTTGGGACTCCAGGGCTCCAGCCAGCACAGTGGCCCTGCCTTCCCCCAGTACTATGCAGAAAGGGCCCCCCGATCTCTAGGCAAAGCCTACACCAACAGCCTGCGTGGTTTTCACACTGGCTGGGCTGTCAGACCTTCCTGAGTGGGCATGTCTCAATGAGTGTGTAAGGCGTGCACATGGAAGTGTGTTTTGAGTGACAGACAAGGTCCCTGCCCTCCTGAATGTCTCAGTCAAATGAGGGGAGACAGGAGCAAGGAAACAATTACGTGACCAAGTTATGTTCACGTGGTCGTGAGGGCTCAGAGACAAAGTGGGTGGCGATGGGATGGCCAGTGCCTGCAGGTGGCCTCTTTAGACAGGTGGCCAGAGCGGGCCTCGGAAGAGTGACACTTCAGCTGAGCCCTGACTGCTGCCACAAGGTCTGGCAGGCATGGGCTGCTGGCGAGGGAGCTGAATGTCGCTTATCATGACGGTGGGCGGGGCGGTGGGCGGAGCCTGCACGGCAGGGGTTATGAGAGGTCGAGCGGTAGGGAACGGGGCCAGAGTGGTATTGTGGCGGCCTCAGCGGGCATAGGAGGCTGCGGTTAACATTTTGGAGTTTACCCTCCACGCAGAGGGCAACTGTTTAATCCTCACAGCAAACCCTAAGAGGAACTATCCCCATTTCACAGGAGAGATGGAATACTGAGGCTCAGAGAGGCCCAACGACCCACCCAAGGTCACTCGACTTGTAAGGGGTGGAGTCCGGAACGGACCTCGGACTTGACTCTGCAGGGTTGTTTGTAAAGGTGCAGCCCCCTCCCCCACTCAAACAGAAAATCAAGGTCACTGGGCCACGGGGACCCTAGGCCCAGCCCGCCTGGCCTGAGAAGGTGTGTAAAGTTTCCTGGGCATCTCGATTGCCCAGCGATAGCGGAGGGCCCTGCTCTCCAGGACGGGGTGCATTTCCCCAGCGTGATGCTCAGCGTGCCCCCGCTGACGTTGTCCGCCAGCAGGCGTAGGGCAGCCCACTGCCCCCGCCTCCCGCACTGGGTCAGGTTTCTCCCGTTTGCAGCCCTTTGCAAGATGAGCCCGATCTGCTTGTCAGCTGAGACGGGCCCTCCCCGTGGCCCCCCTCCTCCTCAGTGTCCCCTCCCCCACCCCACCCCACCCCAGGCTCAGTCACCAGAGAGTATGGCGGCAAGAGTGCTTCTAACAGTAAGCACCAAATCAACGTGCCTTGCAGCAGCAATGACGTACTTTTATTAACTACGGGATGCATTTCTACGGTCTCCATTTCACGGATGGGGAAACTGAGGCTCAGTGAAGTGCAGGGGGACCTGTCTAGGGTCGTAAACCCAGTGAGAATTAGAACAGCCACCTTGTGTGGTTCCAGAGTGGCATGTGTGCATGCATGTGTGTACATATGTGTGTGCACACGTGTGTGTTTGCACATGCGTGTAGCACTTTTTGTTTAGTGAACATGGAACCCCTATATAAAAAGGGTACAAATCATAAGTGTGTCATTTGGTGAGTTTTCACAAACTAGACACCAGGATCCAAAACAGAACATTCCAGCTTCACCGAAAGTCCCCCCCATGTCCCCTCATCTCAGTCACTACCCATCTCCATGGGTTTCTTCTTTTTTTTTTTTAAGATTTTATTTATTTATTTTTTTAGAGAGGGAAGGGAGGGAGAGAGAGAGAGAGAGAGAAACATCAATGTGCGGTTGCTGGGGGCCATGGTCTACCCAGGCATGTGCCCTGACTGGGAATCGAACCTGCCACACTTTGGTTCGCAGCCCACGCTCAATCCACTGAGCTACGCCAGCCAGGGCCCACGGGTTTCAAGAGCAAAGATCCGTTCTGGAATTTGCTACAAATAAAACCACGCCGTATCAGTATTTTGCATGCTGCCCCTTTCACTCAGCATCATGTTCTCGAGATTCCTCTGTGGTGTGTGTAGCAGCAGGCGGTTCTTTTTCACGGCTGCATAGTATTCCGCAGGAGTGCCCGCCCATTTCCCCCCCATTCATCTAGCCAATCCCTAGTGGACGGGCGTGTGCGTTGTTTCCGGTTTTGAGATGCCACGAATGCAGCTGCTGTGAGCATTCCTCTTTTCCCCATTGCAGCCAAATTTACCATTTTATCCATTTTAGTAGACTTCTTTGGAGCAGTTTTAGGTTCAATGCAAGAGCTGCAAGCACAGAGACTTTTCATATGCTCTCTGCCCCCCACCTCGCACACACAGAGCCTCCCCCACTATCGACTTCCTGGGCCAGACTGGGACACGTGTTACAGTCAATTAAGTCGCATCGACACCTCATTATTACTCCCAGTCCACAGTGTACCTTAGGGCTCGGTCTTGGCGTTGGGTGGTCTGTGGTTCTGACCGTGTGTAGCGATGTGTGTCCCCCATTGCAGTATCGTACAGAGCGGTTTCACTGCCCGAACAATCCTCCGTGCTCCGCCTGTTCATCCCCCCTCCTCCCAGCCCCTGGTCATCACTGACGGTTTTACTGTCTCCGTCGTAGGCAGCCTTGTCAGGCCGGTTCCTTTCACGTGGCACCTAAGCCTGTGAGGTTCTTTCGAGTCTTTTTAGCACTGAGTAATATCCCACCGTCCGGATGGACCGCAGTTTATTTACCCACTCGCCTGAAGGACATCTTGGTTGCTCCCGCGTTTTGGCGGTTGTGAGTGAAGCTGCCGTACAGATACCCTTGGCGAGGTTTTCCTGCGGACACGTTTCACCTCGTTTAGGCGAACACCAAACGGCGTGGTCGCTGGACTCTCTGGGAAGAGCACGCTTAGTCTTGTAAGAAGCCACCAAACCGTCTTCTAGAGGAACTGCGCCGTTTCGCACCCCCCGGCCCGCAGCCACGGAGAGTTCCGGCGGCCCCGGGTCCTCAGCAGCAAGGGGCGGGGCGGGGCCGTTCTGCTGGGTGTGTGACGTGTTTAATGACGTGTGATGACGTGTGACAGCGGGTCCCCAATGACGTGTGATGCTGAGCGTCTTTTCATAGGCTTATTTGCCATGTGTATATTTTCTTCGTTGAAGTGTCTGTTTAGGTCTTTTGCCTCTTTTAAAAATAATTTTTTTTTATTGTTGAGTTTTAAGAGTTCTCTGCACCTTTTGGATAACAGTCCTTGTTTCAGGCAGTTCTTTTGCAAATGTTTTCTACCAGCCTGCGGCTCCTCTCCTCACCCTCCCGACAGTGTCCTTTAACAGAGCGGAAGTTCTCAGTTTTAACGAGGTCCAGCTCATCGAGTCCTCCTTTCATGGATTGGGCCTTTGCTGTTGTGTCTAAAGAATCACCTCTGTACTCGAGAAAATTTAGATTTTCTCCTGTGTTATTTTCCAGCAGTTTTATAGTTTTGTGTTTCGCATTTTAGGTCTATGATCCATTTTGAGTCAGTTTTTATGCAAGTGGAAGAACTGTGTCTACCATCTTTTTTTTTTTTTTTTTTTGCACGTTGGGTGTTCAGTTTTCCCAGCACCGTTGGTCGGAAAGGACGGCCTGTGCTCTGTCGTACTGCCTTCGGGCCTCTGTCAGAGGTCAGCTGACGCTGTGGGCGCGGGTCTATTTCTGGGCCTTTATCCTGCTCCATCGATCCGCCTGGGCTTTTGGTCAATGCGGCACCGTGTGGTTCACTGCAGCCTCGCGGGCGGCCCTGCAGTGGGGAGGCGTCGGGCTGCCATCCGCGTCTCCCTCCGTCACCGTCCTGCTGGCCGTTTCCACACAGCGAAGCCGCCGGAACCGGGATGTGTGCCCGGGGCTCTGTGTCGCTGGGACCCGTGGTCAGCCCTTGCAGGACGGGCTCTGCAGGGACCACCAGATACTTGCTTTTGCTTGTGGGCAAACGGTCCCCTCCCTCAACTGTATTCTGTCCCTCGTTTCCGTTCCGTGCATTTAGAAGGTCAAGGTCATTCCGTGCCTTTACGTACGTGTGATGACGTGGGACAGCTGGGTAGCTTTGAGCACAGCGAGGAGCGCAGGTTTGTCTCCGCTGCTATAGCGTGTTCCCGTGAGTGGAGCTCCGTGCTGGTCTGGCCAGTTCCCTGTGGAAGTTACTCCCAGGCTTTCGCTGCTGCAGTAACGATCCACAGGCTAGTGTCTTTGCTCCCCTCCACAAGCCAGTCTATAGAAGCACTCCCACTGGGTGAAAAAAGAAGTGTGTTTTCAGGTATGAACGCTGCCACATGCCCCTGAAGGAGGCTGTCCCCTGGGACTCCCACAAGCAGTGCTGTTACACAGGAGAGCCCGCTGAGCCTCTGGCAAGGACGAGGGATGTGGGAGAGGTCTCACCCCATCTGCGGCCCCTGTGGCCTTGACCCACTGCCCCCAGCTCTTGGTTCAGGCCACACGGGTCCCCTTCTGCTCCTCCGGTGGCCAGGCGAGTCCCCCCTCAGAGCCTTTCAGCCTGCAGTTCCCTTCGCCTGGAATGCCCCTGCCCCGGACCCCTGTCCTTCTCACCCGTCACCTGTCTCAGGGGGCCCTTCCCAGGGACAGCAGCCCATGGCCCCGCCCAGCTTGACTTCCTTTCCAGCAGCACTTCCTGGAACCAGAGACTGCCCCGTGTATTTTACTTGTTGATTTCCTGCCCTCAAACCCCCCCCCCGCCCCCCCACCCCGCCCCCGCTTCCAGAAGGATGGGCGTCTCCTGCCTCTTCTTCACACTCAGCGGCGTTCCAAACACCCGGCACCAGCACTCACGCAGTGCACGGTGTTGCCTCCGCTCCCTGTTCCCGCGCCTCTGCTCTATTTCCTCTCCATAAAAGGTGTCCCTTCCAACATATGAATTGGCTTGTTTGCTGTATGTATCACCTGAGTCCCTCGCCACAATGTCAGTGCCAGAAGGGCAGGGATCTTGTTGCTTCATTGTCGTGTCTCGAACGCCTAAAATGGTGCAGGGCACATAGTAGGTGCTGGCTATGTATTTGCTGAGTGGATGGATGAATGAATGGATGGATGGATGAATGAATGAATGAATCAATCCATCCATCCATCCATCCATCCATCCATGAGGATCATAATCTCCACCTTCCAAAGAAAAAGGTCCCAGGCACCTCCAGCCCGCGAGGCCACTGCCTAACGCGAAGGGCTGCTGGGCGAATGGGGCGGGGCTCGCCGCAGGTGGGCGGACGCGAGTTCTGCCCCCGCCCCCCGAGGCCCCGCCCCGCCCCGAGGCCCCGCCCCGCCTGTCAGCCGGCCTCTGGGCTCCGACCTTGCAACGGCGCAGCTCCGGCGGGAGGCGGGAGGAGAGGAGCGGAGCGGGCGCCGCGGGGCGAACGCAGCGCTGGGCGCAGTCTCCAATGAGCGGCGCGCGGTCTGCGCCCCTGATGCCCCGAGTCCACGGCGCCCCCTCCTCACGGCTTACTCGGTGCCAGGTAAGGTAACAGCCAAGAGCGCGGCGCCCAGGATCTCCGATCCCGGTCCCTTCCAGGCCCGGGTACCAAGCGAGGCGCAGGCCGGGGGCGTCTGAGTCCCCCCGCGCCCGGGTGCAGTAGGCATCTCCGGTGAAGGTGGGAGGCTCCCGAGAGCCTCCCCGACCCCGCTCCGGTACCCCGGCGCCCACGGCCGCCGGTCCTAGCTCCACGCACCTCCTCTCCCCGCCCCCGCCTCCCCTCACCGTTCCTGCAGCATCCCTTCCAAGGCTGCAGGGTGAATGTTGCATTTTTTTTTTAACCCCTCAAGCGCTACCGCCTCTTAGAAAATGGTAGGAATGCCTTTGGGGGAGGATTCTGGGATGGCTGTCCACCCAGGATCGGACTGGCTCGTTTTCTGAGGGTGCCCCCCCACCGCACCCTCAAATGGAACCAGCTTGCACCCCGAGCTCCTGGGGGCCTCCTGGGCCCACCGACCATGGCGAACACCAACCCCGGGTCTGCTCTGCTGGCCCACGGGCTGCAGCTGCCCAGTCTCTCGTGCAAACCCCCTGACAGCGAGGCCTGTGGGTTCTGGGGCCCTCCCTGATTTCTGTGCCTCTGTTAAAACAGGGTGCCCCCTCCCCAGACCTGCCCTCTGCCCCCCCCCCCCGAGATAGGCTGGCCTCCATTTCCTTCTCTAGCTGGGACAGAGGCCAGTGACAAGAGGAGGCTTGTAGGGAGGCCATGGTAGCTCCACAATTTGCCTCCCCCGGGCCACGAGTTACCTGGAACGACCTTCACGTCCCGGCACGGGACTTGGTGGGAGTCAGGATGGAGCGCTGAGGGCCAGCCCTGTGCCGGCCACGTGTCTGGAGACCGCACGGTGACACCGTGCCACACACCGGGCCTCGGTCAGCCAGTGTCCACTGAGCAGCGGACAGGCCTCTCCGCCACTGGGCCGTGACTCGCCGCATCGGGTGAAAAGTTCACCAGATTTGGGATGAACCGGACGGCGTGGGCCACTCAGGACCCTTTCCTTTCAGTCCCTGGGGAGGGGCCCCCCCAGAGAGTGAAGTGCTGGGGTTCGGTCCTGCCTTTGCCTGATCTCTGTGGGCCAACTTCTCCTAGCCCCGTCCCCCATCCGTAAAATGGGGGTGAGCAACTGGGAGGGCCGCCCGCCCGCCCGCCTGCCCGGCCCAGGGAGCATCCGAGACGGGAGGCGCCCGGCACTCGGCACCTGGGCTTGCACTCGGTATCGCTCCCGAACCAGCAGCTGCTGTGGGCGCGATCACAGTCGTTATTTATCGTCTCCTGGCTGTTCCGGACTTCCCTCGTGTGCGCGGGGGGCTGGAGGTGCTGCAACCACCATTTCTTCCCCCGGGAAGAAAAGCCTTTGACAGGTCCCCCGTGGGGGTGGGGTCCCTTGCTAACCCTGTATTGGGGGTCAAGGCCAGTGGCCCCGGTTTCCTGGGCCGTGTCAGGCCCTGGGTCGTGTCTGCTCCATCCTCTGGCCACCACCTTGTCCTTGTCCCTTGGGTCACGTCACCCGTGTGCCCACGGTTTGCCCTCCAGCCGCACCTGGCCGAGTCCTCCAGGTGGGGCAGAAGCAGAGGGGACATGCCCCCGGCGGTGCTCTGGTCCTCACCTGGCCCCCTGCACTCTGCTGCTCAGTAACTTGAAAAGTCACGGAGGAGCCTGGCTCCAGCAAGGGCTGTAACCCGACCCGAGCTGGACTCGGCTCCGTCAGAGCCTGGGGTAGGAGGGCTCCGCACTGGGGCCCTGGGGGCCCGGGTGCCGCCGCCGGTCTGCCCCCACCTTGCTGGGTGGCTCTGCACGAGCCTCTCGCTGCCTGGACCTCTGCGTCCCCGTCTGTAAAACGTGGTCCAGCTAGGCCGTGAGGCTGGCGTGTGACATGCTGTTGACTTCGGTGAGATAAACAACTGGGAGTCCCGGGCGGGCCGGCGGGCGGCTGTCCAATGGGGTCGACAGCAGAGGGGGGTGTCAGAAGGAAGCCCCCCAGTGACTGGGAGGGGGGCGGGGAGAGCTGGCCAAGCCGCTGCGCTGGTCTGACAGATCTGCCTCCGGCCCTGAACCCCAGCTCCTCTCTGGGGGCCGAGGGACTCCCCAGGCCCACGGAGAGGGGAGCTGAGCAGCCGTCCAGCCTGGGCTTGGCCAGCAGGCCCGGCGCGGCAGCAGGCCAGCAGCCGCCCTCCCCGGGCTCCGGCTCACGCTCACCCACTCACCGGCTCCCTGGCCTCTGCATTGCAGCAGGCAGGAGCCGGAGTGGCAGCTCCGTGGGGGTGGGGGTGGGGGTGGAGCAGGGGCCGGCAGGGGGTCTGTCCCCTGTCCCCCCCCTCTGCTCCCTCCCCTGTCCTTGGTCCCACTCAGCCCTGGCTTCCCTTGGAGGGGCAGCTGCCCACAAGGCAACCGCCTTCCCTGGGGCAGATTCGAGCCTGCCTGGAGCGCTGGGGCACGGGCGGGGCTGCGCGTGGGGACCATCGCGCCCCTGGGTCCTCTCTGCTCCCAGAGCTGCACCCTGCATCATCGTTGGGAGGGGCTGTTGGAAGGATCAGGACTTTGGAGTTGAGAGCACCGACTTTGGAACTCTGCAGCCTGGGTTCCCATCCAGCTCGGCCCCTTCTTAGCTGTGCAGCCTCAGGCAGGTCACTTAACCTCTCTGGGTCCCAGCATTCTCGGCTATAAAATGGCGATAACAACAGAGCCCACCTCGCAGGATTCTCGTGCGCAGTGACGCGGGTGCGTCCCTGAGACCGGGGCCGGGTCAGCTTCGTCCCATGAGGGTGGGCCGTCATCACTGCCCTTGTGGCCATGGTCACTGCTGTCACTGCTGGCCACCCTGCCCAGGGACAGCCTCTGTTCTCCTTCTACAAACCCTCCCCGTGAGCACGAGCTCTGTGGGCGAGCGTCCAGCTCCGTGGTGCGGAGCCCAGGTTCTGGAGCTAGGTGCCTCTGGGCCCACATCCCAGCTCCGCTCCTCACCAGCTCCGTGGCCTCGGGCAGGTCCGTGACTGCTCCGAGCCTCAGTTTCCCCCTCTGCTAAGTGCAGGTGGTGACAGCGCAAGTCTCACAGAGCTGCGGGGGGGTGGGGTGGGGGAGGGGTAAACGAGCGAAGGCGTGTGAGGCTCACGGGGATCCAAAGGGCGGGGCCCGGGGGCGGGGCCGCGGCACGGCTCTGCCCGCAGCTCCGGGGCACCGGCCGTGGGCCAGGCTCCGGAGTCAGGCGCTGGGGTCCTGCGTAGGCAGGCCCGGGCCCTGGCCTGGATGGCTGCTGGCCGAGTGACAATGGGGCACATGCTTTTGCCTTTCTGTGCCTCAGTTTCCCCCACTGTAAGTAGAGATGTGGAAGCACCGGCCCCCGTGGCATTTTGTGAGGTTTCTGTCCCCGGTTTGGGCACCAGAGCTGTGGGGGACCATCTCACGGGCTGGTCCCCCTCCCCGGGGCCCTACTCAGTGGGCCCTCCCCTTGTCCCGCCCCTCACCCCTCTGCTTGGGGACCGCAGAGCTTTGGCCGTTTTGCAAACCAGACGACAAAGACCCCAGGTGGAAAGGGTGGAGCCAGGTCACGAGGCAGCATTCAGAGGCACATCCCAGCCCCCGCAGGCCCGCCCACAGACTCACGCCGCCTCGGGGCCCACATCCCACTGCATCCCTGCGGCTCCCGTGGGGCCCCCAGGCCCCGGGTGTGTCCCAAGGGGCTCGATTTTGGGGGGTGCTTCAGACAAAGCAGACATCAAGCTCCAGGAAACCAAAAGGGCCTGGGGCCGGGGGTAAGGGCCAACCTGGGCTGGAAGAAAAGATTCTGGAAACCTCCGGGCAGATGTGAACGCCCCCGGGTCGCTCCAGAGCCGGCAGCCGCCCCCTCTTGGTCTAAGAAGGTAAAGGCTTACTTGGGGAGGAGAGAAGCAAGCAAGCACTCATTAAGCGCCCACTGTATGTGGCGATAACCACCAGCGGCGGCGACCACGCGCCGGGCGCTGCGCCCAGGACTGGCGTTCGCGCTGATGTTCTACACGTGAAGGAACAGGTTCGGGGAGTGAGCGGTAACGACAGTCGTCGTGAAAACAGAGCCTGTTTATCTCGCCGGTGGCTTCTCTCACCTCCATCTGCGAGGTGCCCCGGGTCCCCGCCCGCCCCCACTCTCCGACCCCCCGGGGGGGCCTCCTCGCCCCCTCGAGCGCATCGGCAGAGTCCTGCCTCAGGGCCCTGGCCCCGTCTGTCCCCCCCCCCCACCTGCAGTGTTTTCCCCACACACACAGCCACACGGGGGACCCCCTCGCCTCCTCCAGTTTTGCTCAGGGGCGACCTTCACAGCCCCGTCCTTCCTGGCTGGCACCCCCTTATTTAAAATCACCCTCACCCCGCCGTGGCCCTCCATCCCTGCCCTGCCCTTCCCTCCCCACGGCCCTCATCTCTGACATACTGTATCATTTGCTTATTCCGTTTCTAGCATCACTGTGTCACCTGTTACCCCCGATTGTTGTTGAATCCCCAACGCAAAGGACTGAGTCCGGCCCCCAGAGGGCGCTCCATGAACAGCCCTGGAGTGGAGGGAAGTCTTCCCAACAGCTCTTTGAAATCGGTTCTCTTGTCCTTGCCATTTTACAGATGAGGAAACTGAGGCCCAGGGGTGCCAAGCGACTTGCTTAAGGTCCAGTAGCAAACCGGAACCCCTCGCCCCACAGACGATGGCTTTGCCCCCGTGAGCTGGAGCCTGCGCCCCACCCCCCGCCCCCCGCCCCCGGGCCCGCCCAGCACCAGCCGGCAGGATGCGGCTGTGGAAGGCGGCGGCGGCGACCCTGGCCTTCATGAGCGTGGACATCGGCGTGACCACGGCCATCTACATCCTCAGCCACCCGGACCGCAGCCTGCTGGAGGACATCCGCCACTTCAACATCTTCGACTCGGTGCTGGACCTCTGGGCCGCCTGCCTCTACCGCAGCTGCCTGCTGCTGGGGGCCACCATCGGCGTGGCCAAGAACAGCGCCCTGGGGCCGCGGCGGCTGCGGGCCTCGTGGCCGGTCATCGCCCTCGTGTGCCTCCTCGCCGGCATCTACACCATGGCGAAGCTGCTGCTCTTCTCCGAGGTCCGCAAGCCGGTGCGGGACCCGTGGTTCTGGGCCCTGTTCGTGTGGACCTACGCGTCGCTGGCCGCCTCCTTCCTGCTCTGGTGGCTGCTGTCCACCGTGCGGCCGGGCGGCAAGGCCCTGGAGCCGGGGGCCGGCGCCGAGGGCTTCCCCGGGGAGGACCGGCCCGGGGAGGACCGGCCCGCGGCCGAGCAGGCGTCCGGGGCCACGCTCCGGAAGCTGCTGTCCTACACCAAGCCCGACGTGGCCTTCCTCGTGGCGGCCTCCTTCTTCCTCATCATCGCGGCTCTGGGTAAGTGGGCACCCGCGGGCCCTGGCGGGCACCCAGGACATCCCCTTGTGAGGGCCGTGACCGCCGCTCCCCTCTTAAATGTCAGCATTTACTGACACGGCTCAGACGTCAGGCTGATGCAGAAGGTCAATGTGGAGAGTGTCATTCCTCGCTCTGCCTCTGACTGCCCTGACCCGCCAGCGCTAAGTGCAGGAAAAGGTTCCGGAAACTTCCAAGCGGGCAGGAGGTCACTTTTATGCATTTCTTGTATGCGTTTCCACTGTATCCTTTTTTTCTTTTTTCTTTTTTTCCACTGTATCCTTACGTGGCTCCAAACACGTAAGAAGATGTTGCCTGCCCCCTCACTCACACTCTGGTTTGTGTCTTGCTTTTCCTGCTTACCAGCGTATTCTGGAATTTTCCCAGTCGGGGCCTCGTTCTTTCCTCTGGCCCGTGATGTTCCATGGTGTGGTCACACCGTCACTTATCTCACGAGTCCCCTGCGGTTGGACTTCTGAGTCCCGTTCCTGTACAACGGGCAACCTCGCCCATCGCGTCTCCCGTGAACGCGGGTGCGCCTGCGGGATGCATCCCCCGAGCGGGATCCCTGGGTCCGGGCGCCCTCCGGTCGTGCGGCAGAATAGACCCGAGACCACCCGAGACCACCCGAGCGCGCCGTCTCTGCTGAGATCGATAAGTGTGGTTTCGTGACACCTCCATCTCGGTTACACGCGCCCGTGTGATGTCCTGTGTATTTGTTCCTGGGGGTCCACGTGGTCCGAAAGTGCCACTTAGCCACGCGGCTGGGCAGGTGACGCGGCAGGTGACTTTGCAGGCGGAACGCCACAGGTTCCAGGAGCCACGGGGCTGGGTTCCAGCCCAGCCCTGCCCCTGCCCCGGCCGCGTGACCCTGGGCGAGTGCTCGCACGTCTCCCCTGAAGGGGGACTGCTGAAAAGCCGGAATAAAAGCAGGGAAAGGGCCCGTTCAGGGCCGTGTACTGCATGGCACGTGCTCCGGAACGTTGGCTGGGAGGCGTCGTCGTCGCGTGTTTAACGTGCAGGGGCACCGTCCGGGAGTGGCGCAGCCCGCAGGGCGCTCGGAGGGGAAAGGCGGACCCCGGCGCAGGCCCGGTCCTGCAGCCCTGCTCCCCATACTGTGCCCTGCCCCCGCACCCTCTGGGCCCAGCCCCTTAACGGCTGTGTGATTTTGGGCGAGTCACTGGACCCCTCTGTCTGGGGCACGGCATCTGTAGAACGGGGTGAGAGGAGCACCCTCCGCTGGGGGGCAGCTGGGTCAGTGAGCCAACAGAGCGGCCCCTCGGGCACTCCGGGCACACAGACAGCTCCCAGTGCACGCCAGCACCTGGGAGCGTTGGCACGGCCCTTTCCACGTACCCAGCGTTTCCCCTCCTCATGCCTCAGGCCCAAACGTCCCCTCCTCCGAGAAGCCTTCTCAGATTTCCCCGACTGTAATAACGCTGGAGACGCGAAAACCATGAGCCCGCTCTGCCGCCTCCCCTCCCGGGCCCTGAGCCCCTCGGGGCAGGAGCCGGGTCTGACTCGCCCCGGATCCCGCAATACCCGGCTCAGAGGCGAGCTCTCTGAGTGAGCGAGCACGTGACCAGGCTGTCACCCCCCCTGGGACCTCGTTTCCACCCCGCCAGAGCCTTGCCATCAGCTGGTGTGCCCTAGGGGGATACAGGTGTCCTGACAATGCAGCAGAGCAGATGCTGGCGCCCACAGGGACTGGGGGGAGGTTGAGGGGTCTAATTCGAGGTCAGGCCCCCAGCGTCCCCGACCCCTTCAGGCAAGCTTACATGACTGCGCCACGCTCCAGTCTCTCGTCCCGAGGTGGGGACTCACCGGCTCGCGGGGAGAACCCGGGGAGAGGTAGCACGGCACCTGGCAAAAGTGAGCACTTCCCGAAAAGTTAGGGGCTGGGGTGATTATTACTTAATTCTCAATCAACAAGCATCCAGGAGGGCCCAGCTTGTCCTGATCATCTAAAAGGAAACCTCATCATCTAAGAGGAAAAGGTTAGTTTTAGTGTTGAGTAGCTCCTATTAATTGAAATTTCATGGCAACCCAACTACAGCCACTTGGACGAGTGACTTCATCTCTGTCTCAGCCTCGATTTCCTCATCTGTAAAATGGGAAGCATAACGACCCTGTGGCTGCCGGGTTCCTGGGAGGAGCTGGAGGTTGGAAGGAGATGAAGGAGCCCGTGTCTGGGGTGCCGCTGCTGCAGGCAGAGGTCCTGAGGCAGGAGGCTGCCCGGCTGTCACGGGACGCGCCCGGAGGCCAGGCAGCCGGGGCAGCATGTGAGGGGCCGAGGGGAGAGGTCCGTGAGCCGCAGGGGCCCTGTCGGGCAGGGCGCCGGTGGCCTGTCGCCCTGGAGGAGACGGGCGCCTGGACTGTTTTGACCCGAGAGACGACAGGACCGGACTTTCATTTCACAGGCTCCGCTGTCCCCTGGGGGGAGAGGAGGCCACAGCGGGAGCGGGGGGGGGGGGGGGCGGGGAGAGCAGGGAGACACAGAGGCAGCCCGGGCCAGGTCGGCCGCCGGGACCGGGTGGGGCGGTAGAGGCGGTGGAAGTGGCGGGATCCTGGAAGTACGTGAAGGTGGGGCTGGCGGGATTTGCCGATGGATCGGTCGGGGACTTGCCTGCGGTTTCTGTGCAGACGGTCAGGAGGGTCTGCCCAGCACGGCACCGGTGTCCCGTCGGGGCTCAGTAAACATGTCGAGGCTGTCTGGGCGTTCGTTGGTGCTTGCTGGGGTCAAAACGCGGCCAGAGCTGGCCGCCGCCCTTCCCTCCCCCGCCGGTGAACTGATGCGGAGCTTCGGCCTAAGTGCCACTCTGCATCTGGTGGGGGACCGCGGGGCAGGGCCCTCCAGGCTGCCACCTTGCGGGGCCAGCACCAGCAGAGGGCGCCAGCACCCCACAGACGGCCTCACTGCCGCCTGAGCTGGTCTCGTAGAGCTGCCCACCCTTCACTCACTGGCCGTGATCGAGCGCCTGCTGGGGGCCCAGCCCGAGCCAGGCCGTGGCCTGCGGCAAGAGCTGCCATGAAAACAGGGGACCCGCGTGGCCTGACCACACTCCATCCCGTGTCCGTCATTTCCATAGCGCGGGAGTGGGCATGCCGGACTTTGGGGAGGGAAAGGGGCGAGAAAAGACCCCCCACACCGGAACTGGCTCAGCCTTGAGCCCTGGCCCTTCCTCTCACTTGTTAAGTGGCCTCTGGCAAGTGGCTCAGCACCCCCAGCCCCTCAATCCACCTCTGTGAAACGGGGGTGACATCCCCCCTCCACTCGCTCTCCCCGCCCGCACCCCCGCCCTGGGCCGTGGTGAAGGTGCAGTGAGACAGGTGGGTGGGAGGCGACCCAGCCGACAGTGCGCCGTCCCCCCGAGAGGCGCGGGCGGCCGCTCCCAGCATGCTCGGAGCCGGGAGGAAGCGGACTTCGGTGGCGGTCCGCCTGGCCCAGCGTCCCTCTCCTCAGCTGTGAGACGGGGGGCAGCCACCCACCTCCGAGTCTGCGTCCACGCCCAAGTGCCAAGGAATGCCGTCCAGGCTCCGCGGCCACAGGCCTGCTGGCCACTGTTAACACGGACGCAGTCGGTGCAGACTGAAGAGCCCGTGCCTCCTGTGTGCCTGGTTGAAAAGCCGGGGGTGGGGGGGGACCTTTAGCAGCACAGGGGCCCCCACCCCGACCCCGCCAGGGCGGGAAAAGGGGTTTGCTGGCGGGGTGTGGGCCTCCAGGGGCTCGGGAGGAAGGGCGCCGGCTCCTCGGGCTGCGGACACCCCCTGAGCGCCCGTCTCCCGGCAGGAGAGACCTTCCTCCCCTACTACACGGGCCGGGCCATCGACGGCATCGTCATCCAGAAGAGCATGGAGCAGTTCAGCACGGCCGTCGTCGTCATGTGTCTGCTGGCCCTCGGCAGGTAGCCCGCTCGCCGCCCCACGCCCGCCCCCCCACCCCACACACAGGCCGACAGTGGGGCGGGGCTGAGGTCAGGGGTGGCTCCAAGGGGGAAACAAGCCAGAGAGGCCCCAGGAACGCCCCTGGTGGGCCTGCCCCTCAGCTGGTCACCATAGTAACCCACCGCCACCCCGGCTCAGCACAGAGGTCCATTTGGCGGATCCACACCCTCCTCCAGGGCCCCCCCTCCCCCGCCCCCGCCCTGGCTGTTTTCCAAGAGGGGAAACAAGGGCCGGCCTTGTCTGCTTCTCCGCAAGGAACGGCGCCTGGCCGGCAGAGCCGGGGTTCTTGCCCCCCAGCAAGCACAACCCTGTCTCGGCCCTCCTCCCCCTTAGGGGCCCCAGCTGGGGACCAGCCCGGGGAGCGGGGTCGGGGTCCTGCCCGCCCCCACCCCGAGAGGGGCTCAGGCCTGCCAGCGGCGGGAGGGGCGGCGGGCTGGTGGCCGGCTGCCGGAAGGACGTCGTGCTATGTATAACGTCTCTTATCTGCAATTAGCTCGTTTGCCGCAGGTATTCGGGGCGGCATTTTTACCCTCATATTTGCCAGACTGAACATCCGCCTCCGGAACTGTCTCTTCCGCTCCCTGGTGTCTCAGGAGACAAGCTTCTTTGACGAGAACCGCACAGGTGGGTCCCCCCCCACCCCCAGCCCGCCCCGGGGCTGGCTCCGCCAGGGTGGGCTCCCCTCACGCTGGGGAACCAGGCGGGCACGTTGGTGGTCTCCGCCACGCTGGCTTTTCTCGCCGCCCGGTTCAGGATGGACACGGCCCGCGCCCTGGGGAGCCGGCCTGCTGGCCGAGGTTTGGGTGTGAGCTGTGGCCACTGTAGGACCCTGGCCAGGCCACCCGAGGTCCCTGCAGCGGCCAAGGCCTGGCTTCCCACTGCGTTCTGGGAACCACAAGGGCCAGGCCTGCCCACGCCCGCGGCCTCAAGGGCCCAGATCCCACGGGGTGAGTGGGGCGGGGGTGCCGGGCAGAGCGGCGTAGTGTCCAGCCAAGAGCCCAGGCTCTGAGACAGACCAGCCTGGGTCCAGGCCCACTGGTCCCGCTGCTCACTAACCACCTCCGGGCCTCTGTCTTCTCATCCCCGAAACGGGAACAAGAGTAGCAGCCGCCCCGTGGGCTTGGGAAGTTCACGGCCCAGTGCCCAGCAGCTGGTGAAAGGGCTTCAGCGCCTGCCTCCTCCCGAGGCCCCCACTGTTACTTCTGCGTGAGGAAAGAGGGGCGTCACCCCCTGCCGGTGACAGGCAGGAGCCACGGCTCCGGCCCCAGCCTGGTCCCAGACAACTTGTGTGGTGGCCCTGAGTCTCAGCCCCGCCCTCCGTGCTGTGGGATCTAATGTTACAAGCGCTGGTGACAAGGGCCGGGCTCAGAGGAGCCTGAGGAGGGCACTGACTCTTTTCCCTGCCCCACCCCCCCAGAAGGCGGGGGAGGCCCGAGCTCTCAGGTGCCTCTGAGGGTCCCCTGCCCGCCCCACCCCCCCAACCGCAGTGGCCGCACCGCCACCACGGCCGGGGCTGAGCCGCCTGTGTTCCAGGGGACCTCATCTCCCGCCTCACCTCCGACACCACCATGGTCAGCGACCTGGTCTCCCAGAACATCAACATCTTCCTGCGGAACATGGTCAAGGTCACGGGCGTGGTGGTCTTCATGTTCAGCCTCTCGTGGCAGCTCTCCCTGGTCACCTTCATGGGCTTCCCCATCATCATGATGGTGTCCGACATCTACGGCAAGTACTACAAGGTAGGCGCGCCTGTCCCCACGGGCACTGTGACCCTCCGAAGGGACTCCGGCGGCGGGGGGGGGGGCAGCGAAGGCCTTGTGGGTCAATAAACACTCACTGAGCGCCCAGATCCGTGGACGGCACGGAGGAGGCGCCGGCCCGCAGGAACTCGCGTTCCGGCGGGAGAGACGGAGGGTGGTCTGTTTATAGCAGTAGCAGGAGTAGCAACACTTGAGGCGGTGGGAGAGGTGAGCGCTGAGGGGGAGAGTGAAGTGAGGGGGAGAGGGATCGGGGCCGGCCCTGGCTTTAACTGGATCCTTCTGAGAAGGTGACCCCTGAGCGGAGACTTGGGCATCTGCAGCGTGTCCAGGAAGCACGTGCCAGCAGGGGGCGCAGCCCGTGCAAAGGCCCTGGGGTGGGGGGCGTGCGCGGGAGGGGCCTCGGTGGGGCTGGTGCCGGGACCGAGGGGACAGGACAGGAAGTGCAGGCAGGGAGCTGGTGGCGGCTGGGCGGCATGGGCCCCCGACAGAACTTGGTTTTCGCTCTGCCTGAAGTGTGGGCTTTCTGTGCAGTGCGCATGCCTGGTGTGGGGCGGGGGTGGTGTGGGCCCTGGGGGCGAGGCCCCGCCCACAGTGCAGGTACCGGCAGGCTGCTGTCTCTCCAGACAGCCCGTGGCAGGGTCTCTGCGGGGAAGGGGGGCCGGTGAGCCAGGCCCCTGACCGCCCCTGAGCTCAGGGACGGGGGCTGGTGGGGACAGCGCAGGGCCCTTACCCAGGCCGGGGTGGGGAGGGCCCCTCTGGAGCAGAGGGCTGTGCTGGTGACCCGCTCGCGGGAGCCCTTGGGGTCTGGGACCGGAGGCCACTCCTAAAGGCCTCCGTTCCGCACAAGCTGCGTGTCACATTCTGGCAGAGCCCCCCGTGCCCCACAGGGGCCCTCTCCCCAGCCTGCCCTCCTGAGGGGTCACGGGCCTCCCTGTTCTGCTCCCGAGCAGAAACGGTAAATGTGCCCGCTGGAGCTGGAGTCCGCTCCCTTCCTGCGCGCCCCGCCCCGCCCTTCCTGCCTTCCTGCCAGCCCGGCCCCTGGGACAGGGCAGGAAACCCCGCGGCTCCCCTCGGGCAGGCCTCGGTGCGCACCTCAGGCCCCGCCTCCAGGGCCGCCGCCAGTCCAGTCTGGCGGGGCCTTCTTCCCACACCTGGGGGTGCCAAATGTCGCCACCCAGCCACGGTGGCAAGCCACACACCACCCCAGCCAGCCATGACTCAAGGCACAGCGGGGCCCCAGGTGCGGAGCGCACTGCGTGCTTCCGACGGCTGTGCGGGGCTCAAAGGTCAGGGGACCGGCGTGTCTGGTCCCGGCTGGGCCTCACAGGTGGCCTCCCAGGCTGGTTGGCCGACCTCGGTGCCGTGACTTCTGCAAAGCCTGAGCCGCACTGCCCAGGCGGCGCTTCCAGAGCTCGGATGGGCCAGACCCTCGGAGCCAGTGTCAGCCACCCCACCCTCACGATCTGGGCAGGTTTTATAGCCGGGCCTCCGCCGCCTCCTGGAGCTTGGCTGCGAGTTCTGGAGGCTTGGCGCTGACCCTCGGGCTCGCCCTGATTTCCCGAGTGTGGGCGACGTAAACGGCGCCCCCTTCACGGTGGGTGGTCTTGCGCAGCACGCAACCTGCACGCTGCGGGCGTCACTGCGCTTACGTCAGTGCGGTGGCGGGTGCGGAGGTCCCCTTGCTGAAAGGGTTACTGGAAACCGCGTGGTCAGGAAGAACCTCCTCTGAGCACTGGGGATGAGTTCACCGTCAGCGCCCCACCCTTTGGGAGCGGGGTCCCTGGGCGCTCGCCCCCAGCACCGGGCTGCAGTCTGTCCGCTAAGCCCGTGCAGCCAGGCTGCAAGGAGAACGGGGAGAAGGGGACCTGGGTCTCACCCTCTTGTCCCCGGAACTCCCCGCACAGAGGGCGCTGTCTAAGGCCAGGACAGCGCAGAGGGGGCTGGGGGCTCGGGTGGACCGGGAGGCTGTCAGCGTGGCGCCGCCTCCTTCTTGCCCCCGTTCCTGCCCTAGAGGCTCTCCAAGGAGGTCCAGAACGCCCTGGCCAGGGCCAGCAACACGGCCGAGGAGACCATCAGTGCCATGAAGACCGTGCGGAGCTTCGCCAACGAGGAGGAGGAGGCGGAGGTGTACTCGCGGAAGCTGCAGCAGGTGTACAAGCTGAACCGGAAGGAGGCGGCCGCCTACATGTACTACGTCTGGGGCAGCGGGGTACGTGCCCTTGGCCCCGGGCAGGACCCGCCACGGGGATGGGACGTGCAGATGGGGGTCCCTCGCTCCAGGACATTAGCCGGGGCCCTGCACGTGGGTGTCAGAGTGGTTGCACTTGACCGTACTGTGTCCCAGCTCTCTGCTTGTGCGGGGAGAAGCTTCCTGGGAAAGAACTCGGGCTTCTGGTGAATGTCCCCGCGGGGTCTCAGACCCCTGCCCAGGGGGTCCGGCAGGAGCCCTCTTCTCAGCTGGGGAAACACCCCCTCACCCCCAGGCCACGTGCTGGCGGGTCCTATGTCACCACCACACACGCCCAGTTAGAGTGTCTGACTCAGTTTCGGGGGGATGGTGAGTCTCAGCCCCTCCCTGGAGGAAGGGGAGCAGTGGACCCTTTTGTGTCTGCGGGCCACATCTGGGAGGGCAGCTCGTGGGGAAGCAGCTCGGCCGGGAAAAGGGGGGGTTGGAGTTTAGGGGAAGGAGGAGCTGGTGGTCCACAGGGGAACCAGGGGACAGGGACTGTCTGGTGCCCCCCGGAGGCAGGCCACCCCTGGAAAGTGCCCAGCCAGGACGGAGAAGGGGCCTGGAACCCGGCTCAGCCGGCCGCTCGGCAGCCTGCCCAGCGCCAGGGGCGCCTTTTGGACTTTCGGTGGGAGGGAGGACCCTGAATGAGTTATCATGGGTGCTGTTCCCACTCCCCCCAGAAACTCCCTCAGGTCCTGGAGGGAGAGGGAGGAGGGGTGCCCGGACACCCCTTCTTTATGGAACCTGGCGGGGTGAGGAAACCCAGGCCTCGCTGCCCTGCTCTGCCTGCCTCGCTGTGCAGCCTCAGCCAGTGAACTCAGGCTCTCTGATCCACGCTCTTCCCAAGGAGGACGAGGACTCACAGCTCCCGCGTGGCCCCGTGGAGGGTGTGGGCTCTGCTGCGTGTGCCGGGGCCGCGCACAGAGAGAAAGCCTTTTCCCCAGGCAGGCCCCGGCCCCATCTTGCTGGGGACCTTGGCAGGGAGAACCCCACGAGGGGCGGTGTGTGAGTGACAGACAGGTGCCAGCCTGTGGGACCACAGGCTGCGCCGCGGTGTCGGGTCACGGCTGGGAGCTTAGTGCCCCCAGCTGCCCTCGCCGCCCCGCAGCCTGGGGGCCGGGGACGTGGGAGCCAAGCCCCCCACGGCCAACGCCCGCTTCCCTCTGCCCCCAGCTCACGCTGCTGGTGGTCCAGGTGAGCATCCTCTACTACGGGGGCCACCTCGTCATCTCCGGGCAGATGACCAGCGGCAACCTCATCTCCTTCATCATCTACGAGTTTGTCCTGGGGGACTGCATGGAGGTGAGGGGCCGGCTTGGGGGGACGGGGGTCCGGGGGAGAGAGAAGGGTGTGTGGGGAAGAGGGATCTGAATGGGGCGCTCCCGGGTCCGAGGGATGTGGGACTTTCTTTTAAAGCAGGTGGGGCGGAGAACACCCTAATACCCAGAACGATAGTAAAACTAACAAGTGGCAGCAACACAGGCTATTTCAGAAAATGCTCATGAGGTGGTGAACACACAATACAATATACAGATGATGTGTTACAGAATTGTACACCTGAAACCTCAATAATTTCCATTAAAAATACCAAGAGAGCGCTGGCTGGCGTGGCTCCATGGATTGAGCACCGGCCTTCCAACCAAAGGGTCGCCGGTTCGATTCCCGGGCCAGGCCCCCAGTGGACAGCCACACACTGATGTTTCTCCCTCCCTTCCCCCTTTCTAAAACTAAAATCTTAAAAAAGAAAGGAAGGAAACAAGAGCCATGACCCTGGTACTAACATTGCCTGCCTCAGTTCATCAACCCAGTCACAGCATGGCGGGACCTGAGCCCGGGAGCCAGGCGAGCCTGGGTTCGAGTCCTGGCCCTGCCGCTTCCCGGCCGTGGGTCCTGGGGGAAGGTACTTGAGCTCTCCATGTCTCCGTTTCCTCATCAGGGAAAAGGGGACAACGACAAAACCCACCTGGCAATATATCCAAAATGCTGTGCAGAACGCATCATGGTTATTCACATTTATAGTGTGTGTGTGTGTGTGTGTTTTACCCAAGGAGATGTGTAGTATATATCAAGACCCACTTTTTTCTCATTGAAATGCCCCAACACTGGCAGCTGGAGGAGGAAGGTTGCGCTCTGGTTCCGCCACGTTAACCTCCCGGAGCTTCGGCTTCCTCCTGGGGCGGGGACAACACCCGCAGCGCCCTGAGGGGCGGCGCCGAGGTTTAGCTCTGACGGCCGCCAGGCTCTGGCTCCTGATGTAGCAGCATTTGTTACTTCTGCCCTAATTTTTCCTCATTGTCACTAACGAGCAGGCGGGGCCCCAGCAGCCTCGCACAGCCCCCCAGCACTGACGCTGCGTCCTAACTCTGCACCCGCTTCATCTCCTGGCACCCCGGGTGGGGGCGCCCCGGGAGTGGGGTGTCGGTGGGACAGGGACATGTCTCCTCCCCCCGCAGTCCGTGGGCTCCGTCTACAGCGGCCTGATGCAAGGCGTGGGGGCGGCCGAGAAGGTGTTCGAGTTCATTGACCGGCAGCCAACCATGGTGCATGATGGGAACCTGGCCCCTGACCACGTGGAGGGCCGCGTGGACTTTGAGAACGTGACCTTCACCTACCGCACTCGGCCCCACACCAAAGTCCTGCAGGTGAGAGGGGTGCTCGAGGCCTATCCGACCCTCCTTTCCCTCATCCCGCCTCTCACGCCTCCAACACGCCAGGCCACGGCAGTGCAGCCAGGGACAGGCGAGGCAGAGTCCCTGCGAGCACGCACTTTGGGCTGTAGTTGGGGAAGGCTGTGATAGGAGTCATCTGCAGGGGTGATCTAACAGTCAAGGAGGGCTTCTTGGAGGAGGTGACATTTACATTAACACCTGAACCAGGAGCAGGAGCCAATCAGGTGGCTCTCTTCGAAAGGACTATTCCAGGCAGAGAAAACAAGTATAAAAGTGCTGCTAGGTGCTAGGAAGGACAGCATTCCAGGACCTGGCAGTGCCCAGCCGTGACGAGGGGTCACAGACGGGCTGAGAAGGGGGCACCGGCCTGTGTCTGGGGCCAGAGCACTGGAGCCAGTGGCCCCACACAGCGTCTGGGTGTTCCCTGCAGAACGTCTCCTTCAGCCTGTCCCCAGGCAAGGTGACGGCGCTCATCGGGCCCTCGGGCAGCGGGAAGAGTTCCTGCGTCAACATCCTGGAGAACTTCTACCCCCTGGAAGGTGGCCGCGTGCTGCTGGACGGGAAGCCGGTCAGCGCTTATGACCACAAGTTCCTGCACCGAGTGGTAGGTGCCAGTCCTTTCTCTGTCCCAGCTTCTCTCTCGCCTCCGGCACATGTGTGTGCGGCTCAAAGGATAATCACCCACGGAGCACACCCCAGGGCAGGAAATAGTGCTGGCGCTGGGGGGGGGGGCCCTCCCCCCAGGAGCAACGCCTTGCCCACTTTTACAGTCGTCATCATTCTCCTGCTTTTCCGCTTCACCACCCCCGAGGGCCTCCCCGCCCGCTCAGCTGTGTCCTGCGAGGTTTGAACTTGAGGCTGGAATCACGAGGGGCCGGGCGTGTTCGTCTGTGCCTTGCCTCTTCCCTGGACGTGATTGTGAGTCATCCGTTTGAGGCTGCGGTTGTAGTTCGTTCGTTGCCGTGCCTGGGTGGTAACTCACCGTGTAAACACGTCACGCCCCATTTCTGCCTTCTGCTCTTCACGGATGTTTGGGGCGGCTTCCTGGTGTGCGCTGCCACCAAGGATCCTGAGGACGCCGGTTCGTCTCTGTTCCCTGGGGCGCCCGGGCACGTCCCCGGCGTCCGTCAGTAGTTACGGCCACCAGGCTGGTGGCGCCACTGCCCAGCCCACCCACCAGGGGTGAGCATTCCCGGGACTCCACAGTGACGTCATCTCCCGTGCGCAAAGGAGGCTATTACAACCACGTGGTTTTTGGTGACCCTTTCAGAGAAGGGGCCTCCGTCCGCGCCGCCGCGCTGACGTAAGCGCAGTGACGTCGGGACTGGCGTGCAGGTTGCGCGCTGCGCCAGAACCGCCCGCAGTGAAGGGGGTGCCGTTGGCAACACCCACACTCAGGAAATCAGTGGGAGCCCCAGGGTCGGCACGCCGAGGCTCCTGAGAGTTCTAGGTGGTGGCAGAAGCCGTAGCGTGTGAAATCAGCCCACCCGGGTGCACGAGACCTGGGGTAGATGCCCGAGACGTGGTCTTGGGTGTGTGGCGCCCCCCGCCGCTGCCCGCAGGTGCCGTACAAGTGCCTCCGGGTGGTGCTGTTCAGGCTTCGCAATGGTTAACGCGCTCAGACACTCAGTGTAATCAGACAGCGCATGTTGTGTCGGTCCTGAATTTTTGCCCGTTGAGTGTGCAGAGGGAGCTCGTTGTGGTTTTTGCATTTTCCTGGTGACTAAAGATACTAAGTATCTTTCCATAAGGGTGTTCACCACTTGGATTTCCTCCTTGCATACCTTTTCTTTAATTTAATTTTTTTGTTAAAGATTTTATTTTATATACTTTTTTAGAGAGGGGCAGGGAGGGAGAGAGGGAGAGAAATATCCATGTGTGGTCGCCTCTCACACGCCCCCTACCGGGGACCTGGCCCACAACCAGGCGTGTGCCCTGACTGGGGATCAAACTAGCAACCGTTTGGTTTGCAGGCTGCGCTCCATCCACTGAGCCACATCCGCCAGGGCTAAATTTAAAATTTTACTGTTCATAAACCTAAAGCAATAAAGTGCAACAGTCTAACCAGACTCCTGACTATTCAGAAAATCTTGTAATGAAGTCACAGGTGTTCCCTTCCACCTCCCCTTTCGAACTCCACCCCGTGGAAGTCACCCGTGTTAGCAGTTTATAACTATCCCTTCCCGCCCGTTTTCTGTCTTCGTGTGCACACATCACTATACAAAGACACGCAGATAGTTTAAGAAAAATAGAACCACGCTGTGTGTGTGTGTGTGTGTGTGTGGCAATTCGATTTTATGGACGCACTGTAATTATTTAACCAGCCCCCGATTAATGGACAACCAGATGGCGGTGACGACGATGGGGACTGTGCTCTGGCTCCGTGCTGTCGTTTTTGTCGGCCGAATTCCTGGACCTGGGACGCTGTCGGGCGGCTCCTTTAAAGTGTTGTTCTAGAAGGGAGGCAGGCCCCGGTGGCCGGGCTGTGCGGCCCCGTCCTGCCTCTTGGCGTGAACCGACCCAGTCCCAGAGGGACACGCCCCCTTGCCTTTCCCGCTCTTTTTTCCAGGGCCGCGCAGACAGCGGGCTCTCCCGCAAGCCCAGTGCGGCGAGTGTAGCGGCCCGGCCTGTCGGTCTCGGAGGCCGAGGGCCCGTGCAGAACGCGGCCTCCTCCCCTGCAGGGAAAGAAGCGAGACCGCTGAATGCAGCAGCCAGGCGCAGGCCCCGAGCGGGTTTCAGACCTGAGACCGCGGCTGGCTAGGTTCCTGGGGACCGCCGGCTCGACACGCTCGCGGCCCCTCACGCCCCTCCCCCCACCCCCGCAGGTCTCCCTGGTGAGCCAGGAGCCGGTGCTGTTCGCCCGCTCCATCACCGACAACATCTCCTACGGCCTGCCCGCCGTGCCCTTCGAGGTGGTGGTGGAGGCCGCGCAGAAGGCGAACGCCCACGGCTTCATCATGGAGCTGCAGGACGGCTACAACACAGGTACCTGCGCGCGCGCGCACGCAGCGCCGCCGGGGCGGGCCTCCGTCCCGCCGCCCTCTGCCCTCTGCCCTCCGCGGGCGGCGAAGGTCGCGCGGTGCAGGGACTGCGTCCAGGTGCGGTTCCCGTCACGTCACGGAACAGTTTTCAAGTGAACCGGTCGGTGGCATTTAGGAGGACATCACGACACTACACACCCGCCTCTTTCTAGCTCCCAGACAGACTTCACGCTCTGCACCTGGCAGTGTAACAGTGTCTCATGGCCTTGTCACGGTGCCTTGTCCTTCTGCGTGTGTGCGCGCGCGCGGTAGATGTTCCTCCCGCATCTGTGATACGGTCATAGGCTCGGTGTCCCCCATTTTGTTTGGGGGGTCACGCTGGTTCCCTTGCAGGTATTGAACTCCCCCCCAACCCGGGATTAAACCCCACTTCGTGGTGGTGCATAATGCTTTCGCACTTGGTTTGCCCAGACTCTGTTGAGGATTTTTGCATCCGTGTTTATTAGGGAAATCGGCCTGTCGTTCTCTTTTCTCGAGTCTTCGGTTTTGGCTGGTGTCGCAGAATGAGGTTGGAAGCGCAGCCGCCCTTTCGGTTTTTTGGAGTTGTTCCAGGAGGCTGCGCTGAGTTCTCCCTCAGACACCCGGTGGCATCCGCCTGTGCAGCCTCCTGGTCCTGGCCTCCTGGCCGTCGGGGGTTTTGTGATTATTGCTGCCATTGCAGGGCTAGAAATCCGGGCAGACTTTCTGTTTCTTCCACCTCTCTTGGAAGGTTGTATGTTTCTAGAAATGTATCCATTTCTTCTAGCTTGTTTAATGGGTTGTCATACTAATTGTTCGGTAGTGTTCTGTTTTTAAAACATATTGTGCCTTGGTTTCGGGCTGTTTGTAGCATTCTCTTTTTTTTAAGATTTTATTTATTTATTTTTAGAGAGGGAAGGGAGGGAGAAAGAGAGAGAAACATCAATGTGCAGTTGCTGGGGGGCCGTGGCCTGCAACCCAGGCATGTGCCCTGACTGGGAATCGAACTTGCGATGCTTTGGTTCGCAGCCCACGCTCAATCCACTGAGCTACGCCAGCCAGGTTGTTTATAGCCTTCTTTAACAATCCTCGCATTCCTCCGTCAGCTGTAACTTCTCTTCCCTTTCTGATTCTATATTTGGGCTCGCTCTCTTTTTTCTTTATAGTTCCTGCTAAAGGTTTCTCAATGTTGTTTATCTCCAAAGAACTAGCTTTTAGTTTCATTGATCTTTTCTATTTTATTTTTTTTTTAGTCTCTGTTTTGTCTACTTCTGCTCTTATCCTTAATATTTCCTTCCTTCTACTTGCTTTGGGTTTTGTGTTTTTTTTTTTAACAGTTACATAGTATTCCAGTATACAAATTCTGCAATAATTTGCTTACTAAATAATTCACTCAGTGTCCTATTGACGGACATCCGAGTAGGTGTTCGGTCTTTGTTGCTTATTTTTTTTCTGGCAAGAGGGGTTCTGTGAGTTGCGCACAGCTCGAGCCCACGGCGCCGTGCGTGGGGAAGCTGGTCTGCAGGGAAGATTCACGGGGGTGGGTTTGCCGGCTCAGGGCTGTGCCGCTGCCGTTGGGGTCTGCGCACAACAGACTGAGAGACGCCAAGGCGCATGCGCTGCGGCCGTCCCAGGGAGCACCGGGGCGGGGGGGAAGGGGGGCGCACCAATGCGCGTGCCCCTAGAAGATGGGGGAGAGCCTGATAACGCCCCAGCTCGGTGTGTTACCAGGCACTTGGGTTCTACCAAATTGACGGGTAGCAATGGTTACCTTAGTACCACTTGCGTGGAGCGGTAATCGGCATGCCTCTCGCGAGCGCGGAGGGAGAGCAGCCCTTGGTGAGTTTCGGAACTGTTGGTAGTCCCGGCCGGTGGCGCTTTCAACCACAGCCTCCCCCCCGCCCCCCGGAGGGCGCAGTGGGGGCGGGGCTTCTCACTGTCCCCAGCTCGGCCAGGGCCTCACCGCCCCCCCGCCCCGCCCCCCTCACCTGACCCTGTGCCTGTGCCACGCAGAGACCGGGGAGAAGGGCGCCCAGCTGTCCGGCGGCCAGAAGCAGCGGGTGGCCATGGCCCGGGCTCTGGTGCGGAACCCGCCGGTCCTCATCCTGGACGAAGCCACCAGCGCCCTGGACGCCGAGAGCGAGTACCTGGTGAGTGGCGGCTGGCGGGTGGCGGGTGGCACTGGGAAGGGCCCAGGGGCTCTCCCAGGCTGTGCGCGTCCTCGACGGCAAGGACGGGGCGTCTCGGTGCGAGGGTGCAGTCCCGCGCCTGTCCCTCGTCTCTGTGGTCGGTGTGGCCCTCGCGCACGCGCCAGGCACGTCCCAGGCCCTGCAGCTGCCGTGGCGGGCGGAGCAGCCAGACAGAGGCCCCTGCCCCCGCGGTGTTGGTGCCTCCGGGGCGGGACAGTGGCTGAGCAGGGACGCGAGCGGGAGTCCAGCCTGTGGCCCAGACTCCGCGGAAAGTGCGACAGTGACGTGAGAGAGACACTGCGAGGGGTCGCCGTGGCCACAGAGAAGCCGCGGGACATCCGTTCGTTCCAGCTGCGGGAGCAGATTCGGTTCAGTCCCCGCTGTCAGAAGGGCTGGAGGGAAAACGCGCAGCGGGCTGGTCCGTGGGAACGCGGTCCGGCCCGCGGGTGTCTGCGCCCGCTGTCCTCCCGCGGAGACCTGGGCGGAGGGGCCCTGTCCGCCCTGAGGATTCAGCTGCAGAGGGAGGGCTCCCTGGCGCCGGAGGCGGACCCCCTGTTCTGGGGTGCGCACGTGCGTCTCAGAGGGGCAGCGGAAGGATTTCCACGACAAGCCCTTTTTAGCAAGCGTTCTCAGAGAGGGAGGTCGGGTTTGGCGGGAACACGCAGCCCGCTCCCCTGGCTGTGCCGGGCGCTTCGGGGGCTGGGTCCCCCTGGGGACCAGGCGGTGCGCTGGCCAGGCGCTTCCAGAGCGAGGCCGCCTCTCAGTGCCGGCCGGGGACGGAGTCACGGGCGCCCAGAGTCGGCCCTGCGCAGCGCCAGCGCCAGGGCCGTCAGCTACCACGTGAGCGGAGGCCGGGAAGGAAAGGCGGGCGGGGGGGGGGCGGGGGGGCGGGGGGGGGGCAGAGGGCGTTCCAGGGCAAGGGCAGCAGGTGCGGAGGGGCCCGGGGCAGGTTCACAGCCAGGTCCGGGGGTCAGGTGAGGACAGAGCCAGGGGGAGGGACACAAGTGCCTCGGGCCCTTGTCAAGAGCTCGGACTTCAAAAAGAAAAAATGAATCGGCTTTATTTTTTAGGGCAGTGTTAGGTTTAAAGAAAATTGAGCAGAAAGGACAGAGAATTCCCACCCCCTTCCCCCCACCCCCCACCCCCACAAACTGTGGTCCCTACTGTCAGCATTTCTCGTGGTCGTGGCGCCCGTGTTACAACTGACGAACCGATGTCACTGCGTCGTCACCGACCGCAGCCCTGGTTCCACATTAGACGTCACTGCTGTGCGGGGCCCTTGGGGGGGTTGACAAATGGAGTGTCGTACATCGGCCACCAGTCCCGAGCCTCCCCGAGGAGCCTGGGCTCTATCCTGAGTGGGATGAGACGCCGTTGGGGGCTGTGGAGCAGAACTGATGAAACATTGTTAAGCCCACGTGGGCCGTGGGACCCCCGGGGAGCCGGGCAGGAAGGCGGCAGCTGGGCAGGAATGGAGGCAGAGGGGGGAGATGGGACAGAGCTGGGTAACAGGGACATGGCGGCCACGGGACTTGCTGGGAGTTGGATTCGGGCCCTGGAGGGAGGTTGAGGGACAGAGGGTGCTGGTTGTCTGGGCATGAGCTTCCGGGCTAGCGGTGACCTTTGCCCAAGGCCAGGGTGAGAGGCTGGGGCAGCAGGAAGACCAGGGGAGGACCAGGCCGGGGTCCAGCTGCTGTTCACTGGGCGCCACCCCCGTGGCTGGGCACCGAGCTCTACCCCCGCGGACAGCAGCCCCGGCCGCAGGCTGGGGGCGGGCCCTGGCCTCCCAGGTGAGCAGCTGAGCTCAGAGAGGTTAAGCGTCACGAGAAGGCAGCAGATCCGGGCCCCGGGCCAGTGGGGTGGCTGGTGAGTGGCCTGGTGGCACCCCGAGAGCCAGCCCCTCCTGTCCCCCCCCCAGATCCAGCAGGCCATCCACAGCCACCTGCAGAAGCGCACGGTGCTCATCATCGCGCACCGGCTGAGCACGGTGGAGCGGGCGCACCTCATCGTGGTGCTGGACAAGGGCCGCGTGGTGCAGCAGGGCACCCACCAGCAGCTGCTGGCCCAGGGTGGCCTCTACGCCAGGCTGGTGCAGCGGCAGATGCTGGCGCTCGAGCCCGCCCTGGGCTGCGCCGTTGACCACAACGAGCCGCTGGGCGACGGCTGCCACAAGGCCTGACGGTCGGCCCCGCGCCCGCCTGGCAGACGCACCCGCAGGGCGCAGCCCGGGCCCACGGCACGGGGGACCACCTGCCACGTCCCACGCGCCTCTGCTTCCTGCATCTCGCCCCGGTCCCTGTGCCGCCCCCGCTGCCGTGGCCGCCCCCGCCAGCCTGGGCAGGGCAGACGCCGTGGGCCTCTCCCTCCGGCCTCCCGAGGCTCCCACGCGAAGGTAGCACCACCTTTTTACACTGAGATCTTACCAGGTTTTTTTTCTACCGCTTGGTGTGATGGGCCCCAGGCAACTCCCAGGTTTCAAACACTTTTTTCTAATTGGGAGTCATGGTGGGCAAGATCACGGAGATGTTCTAGAAACTTCTGAGCCAGGAGTAAATGACCCTAATAGCCTGGGGGATGTCAAGGGGAACTAGGCCTTTACCCTTTGACCCTGGAGAGAAGGGGCTTCCCTGTCCCCGAGGGCGGACACAGGGACTTTCTGTCTCTGCCTCCTCCCAGCTGGGTGAGTCAGGCCCGGGGTGGGGGGGCGGGGAGTGTGGAGGACACCCGTCTGTCCGACACCTCCGCCACCCTGCTGAGTCTAAGCCAGTCTCACTGTGAACCACTGTGAACCTCACCTGGGGGAGGAAGGGGCTGGTCAGGCCTGGCGGAGCCTCGGAGTGACTGGCCCAGCACCCAGCTTCAGCCCCTGCCCCGCCCCCCACTGGCTGGCAGCCCCGCCCCCGCCCCCTCCCCTGTTCCGAGGCCCCTTGGATGTTTGGGAGCCGAGTTCCTTTCCCTGGTCAGTGGAGGGGATGGCCGCAGAGTCCCGGGTCTGGCTTTGCGGGGAGGCAGTGAGACGTGGCGAGAACCTGGTCAATAAAGTGTTCTACCTCTGACCTCTGACTTCTGACCTCTTCCTGGTTGTTAGGTGGTTCCAGCAGACCCAGCTCCTGTGACAGGCGGCATGGGGGTGGGAGGGGCCATGGGCAGGAGCACATGGACTTCATGGCGAACCTGCCGGCCCGGCATCAGCCTCCAGTGCTCCAACCCCAGTGCCTCCAGGGCCGGGCAGGTGCCGGCTGCGGCCGGCGGGGCCAGGGACCCCAGAGCGCGCTCCAGCTCCCCCCTTTGCTCTCCCATTTTTGCCGTGGCGCACAGGCCTGTCTGTTTTATCCAAAGCCCAGTGTGCCGCAAGCCTGCGGATAAACGCCGCCAAGGCCGGGTGTCTGTAACCGGCGACCAGAGCGGGAGGCGGGGCCTGGGGCCACACGGGAGGACGGGTGAGCAGACAGACCTTCAGCTGTTCCCAGACAAGCTGCCAACTCCCACTGCAGCGTGAGGTCAGCTGCTGTGTATAGATCGGCTCACGTTATTTTTACAAGACCGAGGGCCCAGTAAAACCCATCTCCAGGTGGTGTCCAGCCTCTGCGTTGGCCCTGTCCTCCCGTCCGCCCATCCTTTGCCACCCCTCCCCCGCCCCCCACCCTGGGGGCGGATTCCAGATTCTTCTCCCCGTCCCCGGCCAGAGAGGCAGCTCCAGATCCCCAGCTGGCAAACCCGAACCCCAGTGGTTCCAGAGACAGAGCTGGCCCCTCCTTAGAAGGTAGATAGGAATTTTTAAAACAAGGGTGGGCAAAGGTAGGCTTATGGTCGTGGGCGACATGCTTCTGAGTCATAAGGCTATTGACTAAAAAAAAAACAAAACCCCGCTAATAATTAAAACCTGTGTGTCTTTTCCCGCCCAGCCCCCACATTTGTTACTTGGGAGTGATTCCAGATTTACAGCCTCGCCAGCCCTGACACACCCCACCCTGCGCCCGCGCCCTGCTCCCCCTCACAGCAGCTTCTCACGAGACCCAGGGGTGTTTGCCGCAGCCGGGGCGCCAGCACCGCCCTGGCCAGCCGCGAACCGCCAGCTCTGTCCCCCTTCCCAGCCCCCGCGCCCACGGCCGTCCCCTGGGCCGGGGTCCAGCCCAGGGTGCCACGCCGCATTCAATGACAGGCTCGAAAGTTGTTCTCCCAACAAATTCAGTAACGTTTCAACAACGACACTGTTTCTTTTGTGGTAAAATAGAGCATTTTCCATTAGTGACATTCCATTCATGGTGCGGTACAGTCGTCACCCCGTCTCATTCCAGGACATGTCCATCATGCCCCCAAAAACCCCGGACCCATGAGCAGCCCCCTCCTGCCCCTGCTACCCCCGCCCCCGGCAGCCGTCCATCTGCCGTTCGTCTGGGCGTTTCCTCTTAACGGAGCCACACAGCATGTGGCCCTCTGTGTCTGGCGTCTCTGACACGGCGTCGTGTTCTCAGGGTCCGTCCATGTGGCAGCGTGAGTCAGTGCTCCGTCCCTTTTCACGGCCGAGTCACAGTCCACTGGATGGACGGACCATGGTCGTTTGTCCTTCATTCGCTGACGGACACGTGGGCTGTCTCCACCCTTGGGGATCAGGAACAGCGCTGCCGTGAAGGTGCCGCCTCCTGTGTAGGTGTGTGTTTCCATTTCGCTGGGGTGCCGGCCTGGGGGACAAGCTGCTGGGTCACGTGGTCCCTCTGTGCGCATTTTGAGGACCTGCCAGACCGTTTGGCTGCGGTGGCCGCACTGTCTGCATTCCCGCCAGTGCAATAGTAGGGTCTCAATTTCTCCACGTCCTCACCAACCCTTATTTTCACCAACACTTATTTTTTGGTTTCATTTATTATTTTATTTACTGCGAGGGTAAAGGAGGAAGAAAGAGATGGAGAGAAACATCAATGTGTGGTTGCCTCTCGAGGGCCCCCTACTGGGGACCTGGCCCACAACCCAGGCATGTGCCCTGACTGGGAATCGAACCGGTGACCCTTTGGTTCACAGGCTGGCGCTCAGTCCACTGAGCCACACCAGCCAGAGCCTATTTTTTTTTAATTATAGCCAAGCTAGTGGGTGTGAAGGGGATTTTCACAGTTGACTTTTTCTGTTACGATTAATTTGGCAGACACGGCCACCTTCCTTGGGCCTGGGCCCCGCCCTAGGCAATCACTGCAGCTGGAGCTCGGGGACGGTGGGGACCGGAGCAGCCTGAACCCTGGCGTGAGGACCCAGGGAGAGGGCAGAGCCAGCGCCACAGGGGGGACCCACGCAGGTGCACAGGGTCAGAAGGGCCTCTCGCTTTGCTTCATGCCCTGCAGCTGCTGCCCTGAAATTCTCAATCATGTTTAAACAAGGGGCTGCATTTCCATTTTTCGCCGGGCCCAGCTTGCAAATTAGGTAGCGTCTCCTGGGTGGTTGTCCCAGCTGGAGGCAAGGGGCCGGAACGCCTGTTCCCACAGCTGCGCCTTTGGCATCTGGGGCAAGGGGGCGCAGAGAATTCTGGAACCAGCACTCTGCCCTCCCACCCCCTACCCTCCCCACCCCGCCCCCAGGTCCTTCCACGGAGTCTGTCACGCCCTCCCCTCTCCTCCCACAGCCCCGCCCTCTTCCCAGCTGGTCCCTGGAGCTGACGTGCTGTTAAGCGTTAGGCAGCAGATGGGTCTTTCCAAGTGGCTGGTCCCTGACCCAGACTGTGCTGGCTGGGAGGAGGCTGCTAATCCGATTTGGGGTCCCAATCGGAGCTGACAGCTCCAGGGACAGAAACCCAGGACCTCGGGGTGCCGCTCCCCAGCTGCAGAGCTGGGGAGGGCGCTGAAGGTGGGCCCTCTGGGGCCAAGCACCCTCACCCGGGCTGCGGGAAGGACGGTCCCTCCGTGGCGTGTTCCTGTGCCCGTCGCACGGTGGCTGTGCCAGAGCTCTGACCTCACCTTCTGCTCAAGCCCCGAAGCTGCTTTGCTCCCCAAGTCCGTCTGAGACCCTCCCTACTTCAGGGAGCAGAACCCATAGCCAGCGGGCCCAGAAATCCATCTGTCCCCTCCTCTTTGTCAGGGCAGCCTGGTGTCCGCGAGCAGGAGGGGGCCTGCACAGGGATGCTCCACTCTGAGGGCGGCCCCCATCGTAGCCCCGTCCACCGAGGCCGGTGCGCTCGCTCGCTCAGAGTGCACAGGCCAGAGGGGGACATAAATGAGTAAATGGGACCAGCTGCGAGACGTTAGGGAGCGGTGGGGACTGCAGTGAAACGGAGACTTCATTCCCCTTTAAAAGGGGCCCTGTTGCTGAGCCCTGCCAACTTCCACCACGAGGAAATGTGTGCTAAGTGGAGCGTGGTTCCCCAGTTTTTCACAGGAAGTTGGTCAACCACATTTTGTAATCTCCCGGTTTTTTTAACTGGAGGCATCTCATGTCATTCAAACTTTAAAAACTACAAACAGGACAAACAGAACAGGTCCTTGGGCTTCTGGGTGGTGATTTCTGATTATCCCCCGATTGTTCCGTGGGTACGAAGTGCTGGCGTGGGTGTGGGGGCTCAGAGGCCCTCATTCTCCACCTCTGTGGGAGTGCGGGCTGGACACCCACTTTGCACAGCAGTTTGCTTCCTTCAGTCAACAAGTCGAGGTGAGCAGACTCGACTTCCCCGTCCTTGAATCCTGCTCTTAGCAGCCCCGAGAGGAGTGACTGGTTTTGAATTGAGAGCAAATTCACAGAACATAAAATTCACCTGTTGAAGCGTTCTCAAGCCAAGCATGCAGTGGCTTTTAGCACATTCACGGTGCTGTGACACTGTCCTCATATCTAGCTCCAGAACATTCTCATCGCCCCAAGAGGAAACCCGCCCCCAATTACAGTCCCTCCCCAACCCCCCTGCCGCTGCCCCGGCCACCACCAGCCAGCTTTCTGCGTCCGCGGATTCGGCTTTGCAGGTGCTGGACGGTTCACAGAGACAGAACCCTCCGCCGCGTCCCTTTGTGTCTGGCTCCTCCTCCCCCCAACACGTGTTCAGGGCCCCGCTGAGTCGGATCCTGTGTTGATTTGGGCGTAGTGACACCCCCTAGTGCGGCGACAGCACACCACGCCCACCCGTGCCCCTGCGGGTGGGCATCTCGGTTGCACCCCCCTCCGGCCGCCCGAGCAGGGCCTGCACGGTGGCCTGTGCGGCAGCCATTCCCAGCCGTCTGGAGCAGCCTTGCACAGGAGGGGCCTGTGTCAGCCTTGTCTTCTCTGCAGTCCTTAGTGAAAAAAAAAACACGGTACTTCCCTAAAGCACTCCACACGGACACACCCGAGAAGCTCCACAAAGAATATTACGTATTACGAGTTATTCTGTCCTACATTTTTTAAGGGAAAAAACTGGATTTCATGACTTACTCTAATGCCTGAGGCCGTTTGAAAGCCACGGCTGTGGGACCCGCCCACCCCGGGTCACTCTGCAAACACTAGACAACTGCAGGTCGTGTGTGTGTGTGTGTGTGTGTGTGTGTGTGTGTGTGTGTGTAAGTGTGGCCGGGACGTGCGGCGGAATGTTGTGTGGGCTGTGGAGACAGAGAGACAGAACCTGGATCCATCCATGCGTGTCGCCGCGGATGCATCTCAGACACCTAAAAACGAGCCGCGAGAAAAGCAAGCCGCAGAATGATCGCATGTGATGATATCATTGGCTTGTTAATACGCAGAAAACAATACCCAATCAGCTCCTTGGGTATATAAATATGTAAAGTTGTAAGCCAAGCCTGGAGGCTACACGCCCCACCCACAGTGGGTGATGGGAGACCGCAGGGGGCGGGTGGGGGGCTCCCCTGCGCAAAGCTTTCTTCTTCCGTTAGGAACAAAAGTAGGTGCAGAGCAAATAGAAGAAACTCGAATGATGGTGGGTTCTGAGTGGTG